TATTCTGACCAGATGTCTGTGAATTACAGTCAAACTTGATTCCCAGTTACCCAACAGATTTTCGTCGCTTAAAAACTATTCGGTTTTTGCATTTCTAAAAGTAGCAGAAACCTATGAACTGGTTGTATATAAAAGTAAGATGCGCTAAGGCGAAAGAAATTCTTGCAGTATAAAATGAATTGACATATGCGAAAACCCAATCGATCTTTTTCTAAAGTTCACATTTCATTTGTTAGCAAATATATCAAAATAGTCAAACAGGCAAAAATAATCACCATCGTCATATACAAGTGTAGTTAAATACTATATTTTTTCAAAACAGATTTTTGTAAAGGCATAAAATGTCATGAATACGCTGAGTGCAATGAAGGTAGATGTCAGTGTATTGAAGGCTTTAAAGGTGATGGTTACCGGGAGTGTAAATGGGGTAAGTTAAAAATTCTTCTAGATATTTCAAAATGTATACACAGTTAAACTAACAGTATATAGAGATTATCTATGACAAAAAGATGTATACTCTTTATTTTTCTCTGTGCAAGCAAATGTCATGGAATACATAGTATTTTTACTCACGCTAATGCAAGTAGTGACTATGTTAAAAACGAGTACTACTGACTAAAGTCTTCAGGTAAAATAAACTTTCTTGAAAGAGAATAAATTTTGCGGCAATATCCTCTACATCTATGGAAATCTGATCCAAATATTCCAAAAATGAGTATAAGAAATTTATGAGCTTGTGATTTATTTCCTCGAATGCACTTTACTTACCTCTGTTTGGCGTTAGTATATCGAGACAATTTCCTTGGCGGTACACATTTAAAATAAGCAAATAAGGTATACAAAGAAGGACTTAGTGAATTCATTATTCTGATGGAACTCTTCAACTGTATACTCTACATAAATGGTTATCTATACCATGATGAAATACAAATTGACATATACACATACATTTAAATATAACACAAAGAGTAAGGTTTAGCAACCAGCATAAAGGCTTTTTGAACATCGTCAAGAAAACATGTAAAACAATTGAAAGCGGTGTGAAAACTGACCGAGAAACCATACAGATTAAGGTTTAGTCACGTCATCGTGAACAAAATACTTGATAAGCGATTAATAGATGAGTACTAGTGTTAGATCAGCTCACTAAACGCAACAAGTTAGTAAGGAATGTAGAAGTAAGACAAGAACAACATTAGTTGACTAATAATGAAGATTAACAAACATGAATTAATTAACGAATTCATCACACATTGAAAGTGTTCCCAGGGCAAATTAGGAGTGATCACTGATTCTTTCTGAAGACAAAGGATTTGTTCATGAGCTTGAAGTGCATCGGTGTTTGTGATTACAGGCAGTTCCTTATTTTGTTGTCTACTGACCACCATAAATAACTCCACAGCATTTATTTCATGCTTGAAGTCTAGTAAGCTCTTGTTCTTTATAGTCTAGAGTCTGGCTGCGTGAGACAGTATATAAAACAGATAGAATTATATCAGCGATATGTCGATGAGCTTTATTTGTATGTAAGAGTAAAGTGGAGGTTGAAACAATGAAGAAGGAATTCTACTGCTGCCGTCTAATTCTCGCTTCTGTACTAACGAATGAAAAAATGGTAAAACCAGACTTTCAGACGTTTTGCTAGTGGAAAGAACTGGTGCATCCGTTGAAAAGTCATTATGAAGAAAGCCATTATGGATGGGCCAATATCTCCACTTTTAAATTTGTTTATCCCTATCCAATGTCGAAGGAATCTGTCTTGAACTGTGTTTGATAGAATTAGGAAAATTTGCTCTGAAAGGACAACCAAATATGAAATAAAGGTTCTGAAAGAACTGTCAATAAATGGATATTCTAAAAGATTCGGCCACAAATATGACAGGATTTTGGAAAAGAAACTAACCACTTTTGCTGCTCCTAAAAAATCAGTGAACGTCAATCTACCATATGAAGGAGACAAAGTGCACAGTAAAAACAAACGGAGGCTCAGTACAACTATTAAAGGAACCTACTACGCTGCAAAACTAATGTTTCTTAGCACCGCGAAGTGGGTACATCAACGGTCTGACTTAAGACAAAATGTCTATCCTCGACACTTCTAACTGCGTATATTAATTCGAATGGGCTTGTAAAAGAAAGAATTTAGGTCGTACAAAAAGCAGTTGTTTACTTTTGTAGTTGCGTGCTTCCATCGATAGTTAGGTCGTTTTGATGTGAAGATTCAAAGAAACTCTATAACCAGACACTTGCCAAACTTCAGGCATAAGATAAATGCTATGTAGTTATTTATGGTGGTCAGTAGACAACAAAATAAGGAACTGCCTGTAATCACAAACACCGATGCACTTCAAGCTCATGAACAAATCCTTTGTCTTCAGAAAGAATCGGTGATCACTCCTAATTTGCCCTGGGAACACTTTCAATGTGTGATGAATTCGTTAATTAATTCATGTTTGTTAATCTTCATTATTAGTCAACTAATGTTGTTCTTGCCTTACTTCTACATTCCTTACTAACTTGTTGCGTTTAGTGAGCTGATCTAACACTAGTACTCATCTATTAATCGCTTATCAAGTATTTTGTTCACGATGACGTGACTAAACCTTAATCTGTATGGTTTCTCGGTCAGTTTTCACACCGCTTTCAATTGTTTTACATGTTTTCTTGACGATGTTCAAAAAGCCTTTATGCTGGTTGCTAAACCTTACTCTTTGTGTTATATTTAAATGTATGTGTATATGTCAATTTGTATTTCATCATGGTATAGATAACCATTTATGTAGAGTATTCAGTTAAAAACTTCTTCCAAATTAGTTAAATTAAATTTTGCTATTTATACATTCAATTCAGTTTGGAGGTTCATATGGACTTATTCATTGATTTCAGGTTGATGTTCATCTTGAACTGTCATACGTTGAGGAAACTGATATCAGTCCATGATTCTATAAGTTTGCTGCTTATTTTCAAACTTTAATTTTTGACTAGTGTAAGCTTACATAACAAGAAGATACATTTTAATCAGGTATGATCTATACTTCAAAACTATCATTGCTACTGTGGACAATTAAACCAAAAGTGTCCTAATGACTGAAAAGAAATAACTTTTAACACTAACTAAGTATTGTATAAATTTGGATTTCTTTTTTTGGAACAAAATAAATTATCTTCCTCACTTTTTTATAGGAAACAGAAAACTAAGTTACACAAGGCATAATACAAGAGAGTTGCGGCATTTTTCCGTTGAAAGGTATCTGACAGGTGTCCTACGATACCACTGGTTTATATAAAGTTTATTTTCTGTAAATGAAGTGTAAACAGTTAAAGTTTCTGTTGTTCTTGTTGACAATACCTGTTCAATTATTCACTAGGCAGATTATGCCATAGGATATAACTTGAACTCTGTGGTCGTTGGTTGGTGAAATGAAAAGCTAACCCCTTTACTTAGTAAGTGAGGAGGTTTGATGACCCCTAGCTTGAATAACTAAGACTTAATGGCACCCACGTTTATGTTTATAATTGTTACTACTAACAACGGCTTTATATAGGAATATATCTCTTTGGTTGTTCAATAACTCAGTAATAAGATTTGCTTATGCTTCTTTAATAATCATGTAAAATAACAGAGTTTAAGAGGAAAACTCTCTGTTTTTATTAGATTCATGTCATAATATGAAATGCCATAGATACGGCGAGTGTCATGAAGGCAAATGTCAATGCATTCAGGGTTTTATCGGTGATGGTTATTGGGAATGTGAATGGGGTAAGTTTAGTCCGTCCAAGTACTAAAAGGTTAGCCAACTTACTAAGCTGATCCTGAAGTAATTTGGACAGTTTTAAAGGATGTTCACAAACTATAATAATTTATACTAACGAAGTGTATTCCTAGTAAATCGACTTTATCTAAGTATAACCTTGATGTCGCATGATATACTGAGTGTATATTCTTTGTCTTCGATATAAACCCTAATTATAACAGTTTAGTTATTATGTGAAGATATAACTTTTCAGGAAGACAAATAGATTTTGAAGACACTGTGTAGTTTCACGTGAAAAGTAATCTATGCAGGCTATTGAATGTATCTGTTCATCTTTATGCTTAACGAATTGACACTGTTTCTTGATTTTGTGATAGGTAAAACTCAGTATTATAGGGGATTACAAACGTGGCAAACATCTTAGACAAAAATGAAAGTGGCACAACAACTAGACACTGATGAAGGAGAAGAATTCTCAATCAAAACCTATTTCCTTGATGAAGTTCCTTATAAATCATATCCATATCTAGTTATTAGTGTAAAAATAGAGTTGATGGATACTAGCTAACATTGGAATCTGGGACGCATGTTTCATTCTATCTTGGACTCGCCAGCTGGATGTACCTGTCTCATTGTAGGCGGTTTTGATCCCACAGGGACTCGACACCAGGAGCAGTGGCTTCAAAAACCACAGTGTTAATCACTAGGTCATTTAGTCATAATACGCACTGCTTATACGACCGGCATAATAGAGTATTCGATTTTATGGATCATGGATCTCCGTCTGCCAAAAGTGACCGATCAGTTAGGTCCAGTCAACGATGGAGATTCACAAGCTATAACAATAAAATCCGAGTTAATGAACCATTCAGAAAATCAAATCTAGTAACGCATGTCAATATATTTCAGTCCAGAAGTTTAAAAGACTAGTTTATGTCATCTTCAGTCGGTATCTGATTCAAGTTCATATGATGTTAATATATTCATTCTGTGGAAGCTGGTGTGAAATAAAAGCCACTTCATAAACATAACTTTCCAGCTATTTTATGAATGTATGTTTCGACTGTTAGTATCGTTATATTCAGCATAAATGACCTGGAGATAATTGAAAATGTTAATGTTATATCGATCTGACTCCAGTGTTATTTGCTTTTAGCATGAATTTATTAACAAAGCATGTTAGTGTCACTTATTTTAAGGAGAAACGGATATTTATCTGAATATCTACATAAATTGTTTCAACAGATTCTTGTCAGAACGTTCAATGTCATGCACTTGCAAAATGTTACGATGGTAGATGTCAGTGTGACTCAGGGTATGAAGGAGATGGTTATTGGGAGTGTACACCGAAGAAGAGTGGTAAGATTATAGAAATACTTGAAGAAATCAAGCATTTCAAATTTTTATTTTATTCAGCAGCATGCGAAGTATTGTATGACTTTTGCAGACACATTTAGGCAGTAGTGTATCATCAAGAATATTTCTTTTCCACATCCTTTTCAATCTTTCTTGTTTGATTGACAGTGGTGAATATGATATTTAGTGTATACAGACTTCAAGACTGCTTGAAGCCTAAATATGCATGACTGATATCTTGTCCTTACTGACAGTTTTATTCTATCACAACAGTTTGCGAAACGAAACACTGCTGCTACCAAATAATTAAACTTATTTCAGCATGAAGTGAAACTACTAATTATGCTAATTTTATTCTTCTTATAGCCCATTTTCTAACCAGTTCTTCCTGAAGACAGTAAACATAACTTATAAACTTCAGGGATTCACACACCTTTTGTGAAACCGAAACACCGAAAGACGATGTGTCATCTCAAATAATCTGTCCATCGTTTCTGACCCTTAAACTTCGCCGACTTCATTTTTCTGTCTACAGAAATCCTAGATAAATAAGTCAGTTCTCCAATTTGCTGTTGAATGAAACTTCTAGGATTACCCAGTTTCGGATAACTGCTAATATTTGAATTTTCGCAGCCCCAGCTTCTCACTTTACATTACCCTAGATTTTTCTGAAAGAAGAGGATTTATTTAATTCAATATTTGATAAATTAGCTACTTCAGAAACTAAGCTTAGATTAGCTCTGAAGTGTTATCTTCAAACGAATACTTAGAACTGTAGAAATGAAAATATAACAAAACAGCTGATTAGCCATTTATTTTGTGTTAATATAAGTGCGAAACTTAGGCACTGTGGTAGAATGTAAATGTAACTAAACAAATCTAATATGGAATCTAAAAGAATTGTTTGTTGGAATGAAATACCGTCCTGTTTTATGATACGTACAAGTCCACAGCCAGTCAGTAAGAATTTGTCATGGACAGAATATCAGCAGTATGAACTCTAATCAAAGTAACATGTCATTCCTTTTAATCAAAGAAACTTTTTGTAAAAGTCCTTTAACATGTAATAATATGAATGATAATAAACTAACCAGCCGAATCTACTGTCTGCATGTCTCTTACTTTACTGATGGAATGGAATCAGTGTCATCAAAATATATAAGAGAATGTTTCATACTGAATAATAACTAGGTACATTTATATTAACAGATAAACAATGAGAAATAAAGCGCTAGTTTGTGTCATTCTTAACTGAACTAAAATAAATCTCCCTTTCTCATCCACTTTATTTTCAAAGAATAAAAGTTTTTTTCTAATGATATGCTCTATGGTTCTAGTGTACTCTGAGATTAACTCACCTAATTTAGTAAAATGTTAACTTGTGTAAATAACGCAATCTTCTTGTACAGGTCACAGAATAAATAACTTCATTGTTGGAACGGTAACTGAAATTAACAAATCACGTCAAAATTCTAGTTAGCCACCTTCAAGTTACTACAACTCAGCCCATTACATGTTTCTGTACTGGGTAAGAATCACTTAAATCCAGCAGCCATTACTCAAAATTCACCAACCTTATTCAGTGCGATATATCCCCACCTCCAAGTTACCGATCTAAAGTGCAACTGATTAGGCAACCAAGATCAAGCCTCAGTTTTGTTCCAATTACCAAAGGTTTGTTAGCCTGTCGTAAGAGCAAATTAGAGCTGACCATTTAATTCCCATGGTAATAATTTACCAGTCAGATCTTCTGGACCTAACCCACATCGGTTACCGATCACACTACCTGAGATAACCCTAGATCTACCGACTAAATCTGAAGAAGTTGGATTACCAGTGAGTTTAAGACGAAAACCTAGTTGCAGTGAAATTCGAACCATCAGTCTCCGAGTTACCACATACCACTGTGTCGATTTCTCTGTTAGTTGAATAACATACTAAAGCTAGCAAAGTGCCACACTAGTAACGCTGGTTCACTGAGTATCACTATTAAAGTGTTTTACCTTTATTCATCCCCGAATTTTATCATTATTATTATTTATCTCTTGCGTTCCTAGTGGAACATAGAGCTTCAGTAGAACGTCGCCATTTCACTCTCTTCTCTGCAGTTTTTTCAACCTGATCCCACGACGGCCTAGAAGCTTTCATTTCTCCCTCACATCCTCTCCTCCATGTCACCCTCAGATGCCCAACTCGTTGTTTCCCCTTTGGGTTTCACTCCAGGCCCTGACGTGTGATGTCCCTGAATGGTCTTCTCAGTGCATGCTCAATCCATCTCCACTTTCTTCTGTCTATTTGTTGGGTGTTAGGTTCTTGGTTGATTCGTTAGCAGGCCAGAGTTCTTTGTTGCTTATTATTCTGGCCATCTGATCTTCAGTGTCACTAGAGAGAGTAGGTGGCAGCTGTTGATGAATGTCTCTAGTTTGTTGGAAATGCTTTTCGTAAGGCGCCAAGTCTCTTAACCATCACATAGAAGCACTGAATTGATTTAAGTGTTGAAAATCCGGAATACTTAGGAATAAATATCTACCAAAGTGAACTAACTGAGAATAAAATGTTAGTAGTCTGATGCCATGATTTTTAAAACTCCGTATGCTAACAATGGCTGCCTTCACTAGAAATCACCTAAATAATTTTGCAAACATATCACGATAACCATGTGTCATTTGTGAACAGCATGTGGTGCTTAATTTCTTTATACTACTAACCGAATGCTTTCTAACAAAATGCATGAATACCAACGTGAAAAATCTCTAAATCCCCGAAAACCCCTCAAATTGAATTCGCATGAATAACTAGTTAATTGACACATTTGGAGCGCTTGCTTCATGTAACCTGGTAATAATATGTTTAAAGAACATAATTTGAAAGGACTTGTTTTATCATCATCATACTTTATTTAAGACCCATGCAAAAATGTTCGATGCCACCAAAACGCAGACTGTAATGAGAAAGGAGAATGTCAGTGTCGTTATGGGTACATTGGTGATGGTTACTATGAATGTAAATCCAATACCGAAGGTGAGTTATGTTTGTTTTCCAACAGAAGAAAATGGCACTTCATATGCATTAAATACATACATTTATTATTCTTTTGTTACCAATCTATTTAACACTAACTAAAAGAATTAGCATGTTATAATCCATCTGGAAACTATTATAATTGTTCTCATTAATCTTATCCTGGTGGTAGGAGAATTATTAGATTAACGAAATGCATTCCTTAATTAAGTTTTCTCAGACACAAACATTCATGTCAACAGAATCAAGGATTTAAGCTATTAGGCAGTAAAATACCATTATTGTAGATGGCACGACTACACTTTATAGACCCATATCCTATTTATTACCAGTCATGTCGACAGATTCACTAAAGGAAGTAGTAAATTACTTCTTTGTACACCTGCATGAACTTTGGGCCAACTCATTTTACCATGAAACATATTGTCTCAAATTTCTCCTTTCTATATTGTCTTATTCAACCAATTACGTTAACTGATCGTGTTACATACTCTTGAGCATTTCTAAAATCGTTACGACCTATCGTTCAACAGTTTGATGGCCAAATTAAGGAAAAGTACCATAGGAGATGGCAACGGGACTATACATATATATATATATATATATATATATATATTCTGAGTTTTTAATCGGTCTTTTTGTATCTTCAGCAGACTTTGTAAATCTTTCTTACTGACTTTATTTCCTCATGTTGGTCTGAATAAACTTCTCGACTCTGTTTTTATTTAAACATCTAATATAAAAATGATACTGTTAATAATACATTATAATTTTCAACGTAAATATCATGCTTTTCATGAAGATAAGTAACCCAACCTTCACAATCAAGTTGTATGTTTGTCATAATAGTCAGTGCTTTTAAATAAGAATTGTTATGGACTATTTTTCTAATGTATTCATTAATCAGACAACTATGCTTTTACAAAAGTTAACTCGATGACATTTTTGTCGTATACTATGAAGAATTTGATCTGGAAAACCTAATCAACGCTTTCAGTCCTGCACATTTATGTATAAAATTCACTCGAGAGAGAGAAAGGAATTCCATGTTCCTATTTCTAGATGTGCTACCAACAGGAAAATCGAATGATTCTATCCAGAGATCAATGTACAGAAAAGCAATACAGGCTGGACAGTTTGTCAAATTCGGAAACTATGTCTCTGTCATTGACAAACGGAGCCTTGTATGTTATTCATCCTTTAGTTTCGAAAAATCTGTTCTGAAGATACACTAAGTAATGAGCTAAGATTTCTACGTTACACCTGACTATAAAAAGGTTACCTAACTAGATTCGTTGAGTTTAAAGTGAAATAAAAGCCACAAAAACAGGTGTCAACCATCTCAAAGAAAATCCTCTGCATTAATCTGGAATTAAAAGGCAGCATTGCAGCTAAAATCCTTAAAAGTCGCTTTTCAAGATCTCTGAAGAAAACATTTCAAACAGTAAACAGACAATTCATCAGTCTATTAAGGATAGGATGTCACTTTAAACCATATGACTGTGGACCTATCAGTTTACTCGTTCCTGAGGAACAGAGCACATTACCATGCACAGCATCAAGTTTGCAAGCATGTTTTAGGACATTATTTAGTTTAGTTATTTAACACGGAGGGTAAAAATATCAACAGTTCTATTTCCGAACACCATATTGTCTCCGAACATCTGCTGCCTCCTAATGGTTCCTTCAAAGCGGTTTACAGAGTGCTTCCATACAATTCCAAAGGCCTTTGACTACGTCATTTACGCATAGCCGAATCGTTAGCGATTTGCAATCCTAAACTCTGTCTTTAAGTTCAACAGCCTCATTAGGCTTACCATGGCCTACGTAGTAGTTTTCCACTGTTTTTAAAAACCATCTATTCTATACTTGAAATGACAGTGATCATGTGTTCTCAAAGTTTATCAACAGCCTACTGCTTGTTTCCTATGATTCTAAACACAAATGTACAGCTTTAGTAAATGAAGTCGTCGAAAATAAGATTTCCTTCGTTACGCCTCTGTTTTATTCTACATATCTGCATCCCAGTATCATGAAGTGTGTTGAAGACCGGAATATAAGATGATGAGTATCAAAAACAATAGACCAGTTACACGATAATTATGACATATTAGATGATTAGCAAAAGTTCGTATGAAAAATGACTTGTTTATAGGCGTTATTCTCCATTAGAAATCCATGCCTGATCCACCCATACTTTACTGTATGAAGCCACTATTATTGTTCACAGTGTTTGTCATGAGTTGCTACAGATATGCACATTTCCATTTTGCTTAAATTATTCCATGTTTCACTGTGTGAAGCATTTAATAAACCAACTGAAAAGGGATTACAGTCTATCACAGTCTTTAGTTTTCACTGTTACGTAATATGCTATGTTATCTGTGCTACATGTTAGCTGTAAATCAGCAAATAGCCCTGATTAACCTGAGTTTTGTGCTTGTGAACACTCACCAGTATTATATTTCTCCAATCATGGAGAAATCGGTGCTCTATATTTGATTCGAACCCAGGAATAATGATTTCTACCGGGTAACTAAAAGCATCTAACACAAAAGTATAAAACACCAAAATGTCGTGTCACTTAACCTAGTCGTGACACTGCTAAACTTGACTGATAAACCTTGATCAGTTAGCTGGTTGAAGGCAATCGACAGGGATTCCAGCTCAATTTAGGTTTCGTGCTTGTTGGCACTCGTCAGTAAGGCATATCCGCATTCTCAGGGGAAGTGATGTTCCTTCTGAGATTTAAACCGGCGTCACTCAATGTTGGGTGCACCACGATACTGAGCCTCCGAAATTGGTGGTCAAATTGCAAAATGACAGATAGAATTCGGTTGACAGTCAGGACCAGACAACATGAAATTGGTTACCTTCTAGTGACCAATCAATGTAACTTTCCTCAGTGTTAAGCACTGAGGGGTAGACAGTCTTATCGCAAACCAAATGGTTACCAATTCGCGTACTGTTAAGCGTTTATCATGCTTGTTTATGGAGACAGAAACAGTAGTTATTAGATGCATCCCTCAGTAAAACAGCAGTATTTATTGATCAATGTTTCGAACACAACCTACTACTCACAATCATTATCAAAGTGATATATAATAAATGAAGTAAAATGGAATTAAAATTTTCAACATTCCTCAAGTCCTACTCATTTATTATAATACTGGCTAATCAAACTCACAATGAGAATTAATTTACCTTTTTAAATTATGCCATATTTTGTAACTTTAATAGTGTTATGCATATTGATATCTGGTGATGGCTGAAGGTGAAATGGAAATCTAAGCAGCATCAGGACTTGAATCAACGACCTTCAAGCTACAAGCTGGGCGCTCTATGAACTGAGCTATGAGACCCAGCGACTGACGAGATTTTGACTTCACCTTCAAGCATCACCTACTATCAGTAATACATGTCTGCCAAAGCACAGCTATCTCAGATAGTGAAAATGATTTTATGTAAGTGAAGTTTCCAACAGAAATGTAACTGATCTATGAGCCCTTCCATTATTATCGGGCAAAAACGAAACGGATACTATACAACCTCACCATTAATGTGAACAAGCGGATTTCGAATGAAATGCAGTTTAAAGTTCAGATATTTGATTAAAGCAACAGAAATTAAAGGCACTCTGAAATTTATAATAAGTGGAAATAATTTATTAAACCATTGAAAACTCCTTAACATTTCATCGAATTCAGGATCGAAATTTGACCTGATAAATATTGCTAAAAAACTCTTCATTGACTCCAAAATATTTCATCAACTGCAGGAGAATAGTTACTCAATACATTTTGTCTCCTCCGATCGTAAGCGATGATAATACTAGGTGTGTCCTTCAAAAACGGTCCACCTTCTCCATATTTATTAAAATCCCAATGCTTTTTATCTCGACCCATTCTTTTAAATGCTCATACAATTAATATTCCTGAGTTTTTTCTTTAAAAACGCTTGCGCTTTAATTTTTTCCTTACTTGTGTAAAACAACGAGGCAAATTCAAATAAAAATGAATTGCTTAGGGAAAACTATTGAAAACCTGGGAGCAGTGAACAGTTGCTTCATTTTAGTATGTCTGCTCAGCAGTACACACCAACTGAAAACCTTGGTGGATAGTGGATCAGTATCATGACTTCACAGAAGTGAGAAACTGTGTACTGTTGAACTTCGACCCAATGTCTGAATGGTGACCATATTCACCCCCAGACCAAAGGGTCCTGAGTTTGATCCCCGACAGAGTTAAAAGTCCATACTGCTAGGACTTCCATACTAGGACTAAATAGCTGTCCACTTATTACAAGTTTTCAGTGTTTCTCGTAGTTATGTCGGTAGACGGTGAATACTACCTTAAAACAAATAAAATCCTCATCAGTCTCGAACTAAAAATACATTAATTGCAGAATTTATTTCAGCAAAACAAAATGATTCGAAAGATAACAGTCCAAGGTGAAATCAAATCTATCTTTTAGATTGTACAGCCACAATTTAATTGTCCCACTGTCATCGTTCACAACACTACTGAAACATGTTTTCCTTTATGGATTAAGGTGTAAGAAGCCATTCTATCCTCTTTTTATATGAATCCAAATGTATTCACACCTTTATTTTACTCAGTTGAAATAATTAGCCCCATTTATAAATTTATATAGTTCAGTTAGAGGGTAAACTTCATGTGGAAATATGTGTTGATTTGCGCAAAGACGTTTTGAACAATTTGATGACAAGTTTACTCATCAAATAACTCGGTTTAATCTAAAACTGAAGAGGGAAGATAAAACTATCATTATATTATACACGATTTTAAATATACAGCAAGAATATATGTTTGACATTAATTTTAATTAAAATCCGTGGAAGATGATTTTTGCAGACAATACAAAGTCACCAGTTTGCGTTTATCTTTTACTTCGTAAGTCTCAGTATGTACCATTTGCAGCATTTACATAAAATTTTTAAAACTCTTCAAACACTGGTTCTACTAACTGTTTGAATAATGTTTACCATAGATGAAAGTGATTGTCTCCCACCTGTACTTATCAAAGTTTCAGTTTATTTTATAGACATTTAGGTACGTCTTTCGCATCATTCAACTACTCCTCCCTAAGCATTTGTGTTTACAATCACTTAAAGGCAAATACACGAAAGTTGAGAAGTTCAACATAAACGCTCAATTTGACAAAAATGAATTCCAAGGCTTACTTAATTCTTCGTCTTCAATCTTTTATACTTTTATTAAATTGATATGCACTCAAAAAGTTTCTGTCCTTGATTTGAAGTTGTCTATTCGTTCATGAAATAATTCTTCCGCTTGAAAACTACTCCATTTCACTTCGATAAGTTAGTTCAATAGTTGAAGTCGAATTTCTTAACTGGGTAGTTTCTGTCTCTATGATTAGTGATAAGATGCTGTAATACAACTTTACAAAACGCCAAAAGATACCTATCTAACCCTAGACATGCTGCATTTTCAGAGATTAGGGGGAACCTCGGCATAAGCTTCAAAAAACCTTCATTAACATATATTCATATAGGATATTGGTGTTTCAGGCTATTTATGGAATATCTTGCTCCAATTTCCTGTTACTTCATTATACCGATGTCTAAAAACCCTTTAAAACTGTTCTTGTACATAAGAACACTTTGGAAATGCAGGCTACCCAGGACTGTTATGGTGACACAGTGAACCATTCATCAGTAAATTGAATATATATAACATCATACAAAGTAGTATTCATAATCCAAACAAAACTGACTGTCAGTGTATAGTTTTCAAGTGATCATTAAACCAAACTGGATTCTAGTGCTCTAGAATGACCCAAACAGCACCATACCTGTCAAGATAACGACATTCAGTGGGTCAAAAGATAATTCACTGTTGCATTGAGCATATAATATCCAAAAATACTGCAAGTATACATCAGTCACAACTTCGATCACAGTTAATCAATTGGTGTAGGTTCATAAATAATAAAATTGATTTGTTCATAGTTATCTAAAAGAATTGGAGTCTTAGAGATTTCATATAATGTGTACGAAATGGGTGAATATCCTAGGTCACAGAATTTCTATCGATCACCTTTGGAATGTGTATATTAGCAATGAATCCTATTTCAGTACTATGCGAAGGCAACAGAGTAGTCACCTTAAGGGAAAATACCGTAAAAATTTTTTCCAGTCAACAGTCTAGAGTATAGAACTGTTTACAGAAGTTACATATTTGTGTAAGGAGAGAAATATACTTTTATGGGTTAAAACTAAATGAAACGGCGATAAAAGGTGGTGCTTAACATACATAGTCTGCCAAACTGCAGCTATCTCAGATAGTAGAATGATAATCAGTATGATTCTCCTCCTCCTCTCGAATTCAGTTACATTTGGATTGGGATGAAAAGTCCTGACTGGGCAGCCAGTGTGAATACGATAAATCGGCTGTAACGAGTCACGAATTCACATAGCAGTCAGATAAAACCCGCCTTGGTGACTGAAGTGAATTAAAAATCTGATCAGCAGTCAGACCTCGTAGCTCAGTTGGTAGATTATCGAGCCGGAAACCTTATGGTCTGGCGGCCGCGGTGTAAATTTTCATTTCACCTTTAATCACCACCCAGTATAAATACTAGTCTGTCAAATCACGGTTATCTCAGATAGTCAAAATGATAATAAAATAAGAAGAAACGAGTTTACGTTCGCCTAATAGATCGACACTATGGTGTTAAATGGACTGTTCTAGAGTGAAATAGTGAATCGTTTGTAGGGTAAAAAAGAGATTGAGTGGTCATGGAGTGTATAAGGAAAATATGCAATGACTTTAAAGGTAATCCTAACAACAACAGAAACAGCCAATCAGATTTCTCCGTTTCGACTGAGGAGACAAATTTTCTTGAAATCAAGAAGTTCAGTTGCTTAGTTTAGTTGTTGTTCTCTAAAGTTAATCAAAATATGCAGTCAAACACGGTGATGACTGATAAGTTAAAAAATAATAATACGGGTTGTGATCAATAATCCGGTTAATATATTCTGAAAGTTTTAATGAGAAATGGAACTAACATGTTAATCCTTCATCGGGTTTCTCCACAGCTTCAGTTTTCCTTTAACTCTTCTTAAATGACTATTTTTATTGTCTCTGCCTTACGGTTTGCTTACTTTCCTACATCTAAGCGGGTTAGTCCCAACTTCCCATTGCAATTCTCGTAATATTTTAACCCGATCACTGAGTACAATCAGTATATTTGTTTCCCAACCTATCAGTAATCATTGTGATTGACTGCAAACCTTCTCTGTACACCCCATGATTATATAATCCCTATTTAAGTCTAAAACGACTCATCATTATTTCACCCTTGAATATTCCATAATGATGACTCAATGTTGGCCTAATAGCCAATAAAGACTTATTTATTAATACTGGGGTTGACTGAAGGTGAAATGAAAATTTGGACCTTGACCACATTCGAACCAGTGACTACATGGTTTCTGGCCCGATGCCCTACCAGTTGTTTGTTATTAATATAAATACGTTTGCACAGTGGATGAAAATGAGTTGTTGAATAGAAAAGTCTCTTCACTGAATTACTTTGTTTTTTGATGTCTCAATGGGCCTCTACTTTGATACATCAAGATATGTATATACGTCATGAAAATTCTGTAATATTCTAATTCAAATTAATATTCATCATGAATTGACATCAGCTAAAAAAATCATTGGAAACTTGAGAACACTGGATGGCTGTTTCATCCTAGTGTGAGACTCTTCAGCAATGTGTACCCGTAACCACACTAGGAGTTCAATCAAGGGTCTTTAGATTCTGTGGACAGCAAATTACCATGTATCCCCTGCATTAAAATCCAGTGGTCCGTATTCTCTACTTCTATCAGGTGAAATCAATGAATAAATCTCCACAAACCCCCAGATTGAATATCTTAAATGGTCAACTCACTCTGCAAGACTGAGCACTCGTTTCCATAGTATCCTCAACTTGAAATTCTCATCAAAAAGCGTCAAAGTTTGCCGGATTCTTACTTTTTCATTTCCATTTGCATCATATTTTTTTATTTAACGAGAAACATAAACTGCTTCAAATAATTGCATTTATTCACACATTTTTAAAGCGCAAACAAATCTTGAAATTTTCCCACTTGTCTTAAGGGGTCTATAATTGAACTTCGGAATTCTGCAGTCCTTAAGAGTCTCTTAAGACTACAACTTATTTTGTAGATACTAGTAGTAGAGTCGAAGAGGCGCGTTTCTTCCTACTCTGGACTCGTCAGCTGGATGTATCTGCCTCCCAATGAAACTCGGACTCGAAACCGGTCGCTTCAAGTGCCAGCGCGTTATGCACTAGACCACCGAGTCACGATAGCCAGTTCAGATTCTAGTTAGGACAACAGTGATCACTGGGAGGCAGGTACATCCAGCTGACGAGCCCCAAATAGGACGAAACGCGTGTCCTAAATTCCACTGCTAGCCATTATCCATCATTGCTACGTGATTCAACCACAGGCGATATTGAGGCATTCGAGAAGGATACCATATGCCAGTAGAGACCGATCGACTCCGTCTAATAACGACAGGATAATTCAAGCAACATCATTAGTTGGGATTATTGTTTTCGCAAAGTTTATTTGCTTTACGTTTTTTGTCTAAGTCTAAAATTTTCCACTTCCAATGTTTTCAGTAAAGGTAATCACGGGGAAACAGTTTGATCGAAATAAGCTTTAGCTGGGTTACACCAAGCATATAAACTGTCTATCAATAACTTTGAGCAAACCAAAATTCTCCTAATTTTTCTGTCAACATGAAACCCCGTTCCTCCAGCTTTTAATAGACATATGTAAACTAAAATTACGGAGAATATTTAGATTAGGATCTATTAAATGTCTCAAATATCAATCTTATTATTACTGTTATAGAACTGTGTGCTGGTGTTCAATGTCATCGTTTTGGTCAGTGTTATGAGAACCGATGTTACTGTAGTCACGGTTACGTTGGAGACGGTGTGAATTTTTGTGATCCTCGTACAAACGGTAAGTGCATGTTTGAATACAGAATAAATAGTTCGCTCTATGTATCCAGTGCCTCTACTCGTGTATGTATGTGTAAATTAGTAGATATGATGCTAGACCACTTCTATGTGTTTAATCAGCTGATTGTTTAATGAGTATTTTTATTGACTAGAAGATTTAAATGTGTTTTTAGATCCATGTGAAGGAATCAGTTGTGCTGCTAATGGACGTTGTCAAGATGGTCAATGTGTATGCAATCCTGGTTATGAAGGTGATGGATACAATGAATGCCGTACAACTGAAGGTAAAATTAATACTTTACACCTTGAATGCCACGTAGACTAGCTAAACTGAAACTTTCAACGAAAATTACAACAGTCAGGAATTCGAAATATTTTGGTATCAAATGATATAGTCAAATTATTTTGTTGTTATTGAAAAACTTCACATTTGTTTTTGCGAAGTGTTAACTATTTTGAGAATCGCGCTTGTTATTGAATCACTGATTCATTTCAACTAATTGCTACAAAGTAGATATTTTTGACATTTTACGAATATTTAAAAAGTAGAACCGCAAACAAATAAAATCAAAGTTGCTTCTATACAGACCTCGATAAGTGAGTTGAAAATTTCTGAAATTTAGTTAAAAGTCTGATAATAGGATCTGTATATGAGTTTAACATAGAATCACGAGATGCAGAATCAGTTAACCGAAATTGTAAACTGAAAATACTTTGAATCTTCCGTTCTACTGAAAATATGAAAAGTATGTTGGCTTAGATTACAGTCCCTGATTTATAACAGAAAGTAGTTATCCGTTCATATACTCAGAGGTAACAATTTCCACGTGGGTTTGATAATGTGACATGATTACCTTCACACGTTAATGAGCAATGAACTATCCAAAAACTTCGACCACTAAATAATATTTATATCTTTATGCTGTATCCAATAAACCAATCTAACATCAAATTATACTCTTCGGCAGTGCCGAAGTTCTATGAATATGTAGGAAATTATAGTTGTTTTCAAATATTTTGTACCACCAGGTCTTATTTTGTGGATTAGTGACGACACAATACACTGAATGGTTGATATTCTCTTTTTTATATTCACACCCTTGGAGATTTCATAACTCCACACGTAATGGATTTGGACCTTCATTCAGCTTACTAAACGAACTACCTTCAGGATATTGCAGCATTAAATTGCAGTGTTTGTTATTTTTCAACTAGTGTTATCATTTATGAGAATGTAACCAGTTCCACATTTCTGAAGATCATTTATGTCGAATAAAACATAAGTTTCTTAGAGATAACCAGTCTCCACTTCAATTCGGTTCCTAGTAATCAGTAAACAAATATCAATGAATAGTCCATTTGTCTTATAGTTATTCTTTTTCAATGTAAACAACCTGCAGTTATGAATTTTTATTTATCACCTAGCATATGGGGTTATACTAACTTCATCTATGGCTTATTAGTCCAGGCACTTGACTTCAAACGATGACTCATCAGTTCAAATCCACCACCACCTACTGAAATCTAAGAAGTCAGGCGCTATCATAAGCAACATTAGGTGTGCCTCACTGCTAACTGCACAAACTTACATTTATTGCTGAGTGAGTTTCAATGATAACTTTATTAGTGTAGGAATATGCAAAATAACACTAAGCCCTGCGAGATAACATGTCTATTATTTCGAGAATTTTTAACAACTGTATGCAATCCAAATAATATCGAAATGTATACGTAAAAAGTACTGAACATTTTCTTAGCAAGTTGACATGAAGTTATTGAGAGGACCAATTGGCTACATAGACAATGTAAATGATCAAAGTAGAGAAGATCGTTAGAAATATGAGAGGAATATCGACTATTTATAGGATTATCAGGTGAATATTCTTGAACGATACTATAAAGAGGTGGATAGAAAATAGTTACTATAGGTTGCGAAGCTTCAAAATGTTATGAATTTACAAGAGATTAAACAACAAGGTGGTAAATATGGAGGTTCGAAACAGAACCTAACGAGAGTTTGGACATATCTGACTGGAAACAAATTACTCAATCAGTACGAAATCGACAGCAGTATCTTTTTGAACACACAGATTCGGGTTAAGTCACTTCACATCCAATGTTCCAGTAAGACGTACTATTTTTAAGTTCTCTCACCCATTATTCACTGTGAACGACTTGAGGCTGTAAACACTTTATCCAGCATCAATCAGATGACGTACAATTGCACTATTCAGAGCACTTGAACCCTCGTATCTTAGATTCTCGGGGTTGAAATCAAACGAAAATCCCACTCTCTTTTCTTCTAATGCATGTGCTTTAGCACGTATATGTATATTGGTAGATGCCCTTAAAGGAAAAATGAGGCGGCAATTTGTCCACTTTTAACTGCTGCGACTATCGATTTGTGTAGCATAAATGGATCAGCTGGACAACCGGATGCATTCTATTCAATGTAGTGTTTAATCGCTTGTAAATCCCGGTAATAATTCCATCACCCTTAATAGCAAGTTATAAAAAGGCCAGATTCTCCTGCACTGTGCTGCACTCTATTTTTTTTCGTATTAGACTTCTCATATTTATCAACGAATGTTTACGGACATTGTGAAACAACGGATAATCCCTCTTCAAATTTTTCTTTGGAAAATGACTTTTCATGCAGCTGAATAACGTTTGAACTACTCAACTTTTTTAGTCCGCAAGACAGAAACTTCTGGAGTTAAAACAGATCTCACTCGAAGTTTCTCTTCTGTAAATTTACCTTTGGATTTTACAAACTATTTCGCTTCTAAAAACCAAGATCTGAGAAATGAAACTTATTGCAATGCTCATAATTAATTGTGAACTAAGTATTAGGATGAACGGCATTGAGATGTATTTATTAGGGACAAACACTATTTGCAGAACCATTGAAAGCCTGGGACCACTGGACTGCTTTTTGCCGTAGTATGAGATTCCGTAGCATCTAACCTGTTGTAAAAAATGTGTTGCACTAGATAAACTACCGAAAAACCCAAAGTTCAACTGTTTTGTTATTTAGTATAATCTTTTTCTTACCTGAAATACTTCTATGGATTTTTTGAAATCTTTTTATCAACACATCCTAATTACAAAATGCAACTCAATTCCAGAATATCGGTGGCCCACATTTCCGAGTTTCTAAATCTTACGTCACTCGTTTTTAATTCAAATAATGAAACAAAAGGTAGGATTGATGTTCACGTATCTTATGGAGAGTTAGTAAATTCCCTGGTTCGTAAGCCATAGACTTATTATTAAATCCCCCTAGCGTTTTAGCTCTCATTTCAACTGCAGTCGTCATCGTTTAGAGGAAAATCATTCTGCTGAATCACATCTATCCTAAATAGCCTAATCAACATAGTGGATGAATGCTTGCTAATAGTCAGAATTACTAACAAACATGAAGTTGATGAATACACGAAATGCAATAGGTGCACATGGTTCTGTAATTTATCATCTTTATTTTGTGCATCTCTGTATCTAAGTGGATTACGCTTGGGTTGTCACCGTTACAACTACTTCTAAAATCTGATTTCACCATTTTGCTCTCAGAACTATCACTGTGTCTATTTTCTTCACCTAACGGATATTTTCAAAAAATGAAATTCGTTATAGTCATTAAGTTTCAGTGATCAGTCAAAGTAGTCGATTTTTAACGTGATAGATTGTAGGTCCTAACTCTGCTTAACTTCTCTGATTTTAGACCTTAAGTAGCATCAGTAATCTCCTTACAATAAGTGCGACTAACTACTTAGAGAACCAACCTGTATGTAACACACAGAAAAAAGGGGTTAGTTTTGTCATCACTTCCACAAACCCTAACTGTTTATAGGTATACGTTGACTGCATCTTCAGATAAATATGTCCGGTTTATCATATTTTTTACATCCATATGCATCCACAAATGGGTAAGAACCCATTATATGTATTATTACCTAATGTGCCCAAGACAGAGAAAATGTGTGCACAAACACTATTTAACGAATAATAAAATCTACCCAATCACTTGTAACATAAGTCAGTATAGATGTGTCGGAAACTTAGCTAATTTAGAGTTACTTGTGACAGATATCTGCACTTGTCTGTATCTTCTCAACACAACTAAATAAGTATGTACATTCCATAAAACCAACAAGTTTTCGAAAGAAATAATATCTAAGGTGACTGCATAAAACAATTTCAGCATCGAGCAAAATAGCTTCTAGCGGTCACAACTTGATGAAACTTATCCTTTTTGTCTTGTGGTTTATAGCCTTCTAACCCTAAAGTTTCACTTTATTTTTCAGTGGATTTGTGTGCTAATATTCGCTGTCATCACTACGCTAAATGTGATCGTGGACAATGTCGTTGTATGGATGGCTATGAGGGAGATGGATATTCGGAATGCCGACAAATATCAGAAGGTAAGAACTCAGGGACCTACAGTAATTAATTCACTTTTTCTATTTGATTCAGAAACGAAGTCATTCATGATGCGTAGACACTATGCTGTCATTAAAATGCCCAAGAAAATATAGACCAGTAGCAGAAATTTACTCGAGATCCATACTAAAGTAGTAATATAATTCTATTTCATGTTAGCTTGTTTGTTGAAAGGAGCCCCCAATACTACAATATTACTTAGTGAGCTGCAATCCTAACCCAGTTTCATGTTTCTAATCAAAGAAGGGCAATCTGCTAACTTTGAAACTTTATTGTTACTATCTGAAAATATTAAACCTTGTGAATCTAAGAACAAATTTTGAAACTTGAATGACTAGAAAGTGGTTTGCGCTATGGCAAGTTTGAGAGAAAACAGTAGAAATCCATTAGGTTTTTTTTCTGTCACTGAATCCTTGATCCTCCTTAGATCAGAAAAGAAGCCAATTGAAACACTCAGAAAGCAAAAAGTAATTCAGTGAAATTTTTCTTTCTGATCAATCAATTTTACTAGCTGTACAATCATATTTACGATAATAACAAAAAAACAAATAAGTCTTCGGATAGATTTTTACCATGGACTGACATCAGCTGGAGAACCACTGGAAACCTGGGGGCACTGAACAGCTATTTCGCTTTAGTATGGGGCTCCTCAGCAGTTGACTGTTGGTTAAGAGTTTAACGTAAGATCATCCAAAAGGAATTTTCTCAGTTGGAATAGTGAGTTCACTCTAGAGTTAGAAAGAAATTGAGTAATCATGGGGTGTCCGAGGAAAATAAGCAGTAGGTTTAAAGAATTATTATTATAATCAATAAACAGTGTAAAATATTACAAGGATTTTAATGGAAAGTCAGAGCTTTCATGTTAAGACGAAAGAAGGTAAACCATGAAGTTGAAACAATAAAAATAACGAGTTAATAGGCGTAAGATGAACATTGTAGCAATAAAGAAACTCAAGGAGGGACTATGATCAATGGCAAAAGTAAGAGAATGAACTTACCTCTTTTATACTCAGAGCTCCAGCTTTGAATGTCTGATCATCAGGGGTTTCGCTACACGTAACTGATGAATCCGCACTTGCTTTAACCCCTCTGGGTTGACTTTACATAGGATTTTTCCAGATATATTAGGGTTAGGCATTAGCTCAACAAAATCGAATGAATCATATGAAGTATGTCTATTATTTTGACTTTTCACTTGTTGAAGAATTTCAGCTAGTCACTTAGCCACTTCATGGTATGAGGACTTACTTAAACCCAGTAATAAACGGAAAGGAACGTCGTTTTCGTTTACCTTTCAAAGCCATAAAGTTGAAGAAACACGGAGCCATAGGATTTCAAATGTCTGAGCAGATCACTACTAATGGTCCACTCGGTTTTCATCTTTTTGAGAATTCGAATCAACTTCTGCTCAGTTTGTTCAGTCGTACCTTTAATAACAGTTTCTCTTAAAAGTTCACTTTTTTCCGGTTGCATGTAAGACCAATTGGCAGTATCGGCATGCCGGTTCATGAAGATGATACCAAATGTCTTATCGGGATAGACTAATAACAACTCTTAGTTTGTTAGGAGGTCTTTCACCTGGCATCTGTACCCTTTGAAGACAATCTTTTGATATTCAATTTTACACTGGTATACTGTTGGCGGGAGCTTTATAAAAATAGGCTTAATTTGGTCTAGGCTGTCGCAAAGAACTGGAATAATATCGTTTTTTTGACTGACCTAACTCCCGAATTGGATTTTGATGTTAAAATATCACACAATTCTCGGCTGAATGATGATGCTTGTTTGATATCATTGCAAAATGAGAACCTCATTTGAAGTCATTCAGCAAATAAAAATGGTACTCTGTACTACACCAAGTAAACAGACCAGTATGGACATTCCTTCCTGTTTTCTAGCCGCATTTATAACATCTATCACTGGTTTATATTTATCCGGTGGAAGTGTCATACTCCAGTTGTATTTACTAACTTCTACCATTATGTATAATATCAGTAACAATTTACGTCGAATGTCAAAGGAAATATAGACACAAGACCACATACCTACTTTATTCTATAACTCAAATACGCTTATATTCTTAGTTCAGAAATGTTGCTAGAGTGAATATAAAGTCAGGATGGTGTCACCATAGACTAATCACTTAAAATAAACAAAATTTAGAGGCTCTCAGTAGATTTATTTGTTTACACCACAGTACAATAACTAACTTCAGTTAATCTTTAATGGTAATAATAATAATCGTTTTATTTCAAAGATTACACTATATAAGTGACTAAACACTATGTTGCCTCTTATGCTAAACATTAGTTTTATACTGACAAAAGTACATATCTCACTTTTTAGTTCATGTAACTTTTTGAATCACACAAAGTAAACTGAACTTTCATAGCAAGTCAAGTATTAAATATCACTATCCTGTCTTAATTATTTTATTCCATTTATCTTAGTAAAAACTATTTAAATCCCGTTATTCACTTATTATACAAAGCAGCCATGATGAACCTCATAAAATCACTGCGACTATTATGAGTACTGAAAAATCATACAAACTTTAGTTTATTTATCACTAGTATTACAAATAAAACTTTAACAATTAGTGGATGTTGTTTAATAAATTATACAAATTACTACTGACAGATAAGTGTGCCCGAGTCAGGTGTCATCCAGATGCTCAATGTACTGATGGCTATTGTTTCTGTCCTTCTGGATTTGAAGGAGATGGATTTTACGAGTGTAAACGAGTCGTTGAAGGTAGAATTAATAGTCGAAGTTTTTGTTGCATGCTTTTTGAGAATATTTCACATGTCTGGCTTGAAACTGTCGTATGCTAACAATGCATCATTCCCTAGATGCTTTATTTTATAGCATAACCTAAAACTTTTTAACAAAACCATTGATAAATGTTATAATCATTACTTTCCTTACGATTGTGTAGAAGGTATATTCTGGTGGAAAATTACTTTTAAAAATATTTCAATATGTTATGTAGCTAGTCTCTATGGATCTACCATAAATTATTTTTTAACACTAGGTAGCCCAGTTCACTAGTTTTCACACAACTGAATTCACATGTCATTTTGAATCATAAATTCCATGTTCGTTTATTTTCAAAAGTGATGGAACACTTCCAACGTACACTGCTTTGGCCTTCTCGATATGTACGGATCATACGATCTTCTGAATCACTTATAGTTCTAAGCATGTAATTGATTCTGCATGCAACTGCAACTTCCTATACATCTAAGTGAAACACAGATTACTTATGCCATTTCGTTTCACAACTTCCACTTTCAGTGAAAACTAAGGCTACTACTCACCATCTCCGTTATTTATAATCACTGTCATTCGTACGTAAATAGCAAACACAGGCTCACATAAATGAAACAACCAGTTTAATACGTAGAAAAGAAATTATGCACTGTGACTAATTCTCCTTAATAGGCAGTTATTTTTGAACTAAAAGTTATAGGGAAGTAAACTAGAAGTTACTGTAGAGCCTATGAGCTGATCAATTAATTTTATAAATAACTTCCAGTCAAAATATCCTTTGAAATAAATCAAACCAAATCAATCATACTTTTTTGAGGCTTCCTGATTACTTTTCTCCACCTATTAAACTTATCCCGTTTAGCACAAGCGCTGAAATTTCAAATTTAATGCAAAACGCCATACTGGTTGCCACCGGATAAGAGGATTTGAAGTAAGGATTTTTATGTCACGTTACATCGACAAAAGTATTCGCTACAAAATCAGCTATCAGCTTCAAGATGTCAACAAAGTGATCAACAGTAACAAACTAATCAACTTATTCTAAAGTTCTGTTATACTTAAACAACTTTCCAGCAAATTATAACTGTAAACACTTGAAATTTTGTAGTATGGGTATTTCTGATGATTTTACAAACTTCCACAAGGAGGTGAGCTAAGTGTTGAAGATGAACTATTTCTAACCCCGAACATTAAAAATTGAAAATATACATTGGAAAGAATCTAAAACGAATTACCCTGTTGCCGTAAATCACTTATTAGTATGAATGTACAGACCTCGAACAGAAAAAGGAAAACACCTGCTGAAACATTATTCATGTGTATGCACTAGAAATTATTTCAGCATTGATTTACATCACTGAAAAAAGTTCCTAGTGCACACTACTTTATTCAACACAAATTTAGCATATAGTTTGAATACAAGTGTCCATTTTCATAACATAAACTCAGTGATTTTGACCACCGTTGTTATTACCTCAAACAAATCTCAGAAACAAGTTTGCCTTCTTTGATGTATACTCAAAAAATAATCTAGTGTTGCCATACACTATGCATGTAACTGGCCAGTAATGCACCAGTCTGTATTATGCTTCTGTAGCTTTCAGAATGCTATTTAACTCTAATCAATATGAGATAAATATTAATGTTTATAGATCCATGTGCGAATGTACAATGTCACGAAAATGCTAGATGTGAACGTGGTTATTGCCGTTGTATGGAAGGCTACGAGGGAGATGGATACAGAGATTGTAGACGTAAAATTGATGGTGAGTGAATGTGGGCAGTGCATGAGTGTAATTAGCAAGCCAACACGAATAATTTCTTGTGTGCCACAGTGTATGTATTATATATATATATGCGTATATAAGCACTTTTTTCAGGTAAAGTAAGATACAAAATGAATATTTATTTAACTAGTAAAAGTACAACGGGTCAGTAAATTTTTCTAACTAGAATAATTCTTTTTTACTCAGTGTCCAGCACAGATAACTGTTCTCCACTTTCTTTGCATTAGCTTACTCGTATAGTTACTTTCAGCTTCACACATATATGCTAACTGCTTACTGTATAGACCTTTTAACGCCTTACGTAGAGTTGATTGTTTATAAATTTTGCGTTTATTGACTCAATAAATGCAAATATATTGTTTAAATTAACTTATTTATCGGCGTTCAACGGGATATGATAGTTTAGTCTCTTTTTTCAAAACATATAATAACTGTGTATATTTACTTATGTTTGTCAACTACTTTTACAAGAACAAAGTTACCTTAATCGAACGTCTTATTGCGTAATAGAGAAGTAGTACTTTCCTATCATCTTCTTCCTTTCTGCGTATCACTTACCAGTTAAATTAGAGACCAAGATTATTAGACAGACAAGTCCCTCTGTTCATATTTTCCGTAGTTCTGTAATTCTACACGCATACTGAAGAAGTATTTTAGGAATGCTGAGTGTTATTTCGCTTTAACAAGCTTGTTAGTATAGTAAGTGTTCAAAAGAGAATGCAGGGAAACCAAGGAAACCCTGGTTCATTACAATCCCCAACAAGAATCAAGAAGTATATGATAAACCAGTACCTGGTGATTGGAGTCTAGTATTTACACAGATCTGTTTTCAACTTAAACCTTCATTTTCGTACATGAAAATATATCTTAACATCCTAGTAAACACTAGTCAACAGTTGCAAATAAAGCATCAAAAGAAAGAGTAATAAAGTGGAAAGAACCTGAGACATTGAAAACTAACCCCGAAATCTCCGTGTATGTCTGCATGAATTTCGCCGAATTTCGCCACAAAATAAATAAACTGCTCAATGCAAAGCGTTCTAAATCTGTTGTGTTATTTAGAATTTTGTGACTTTACTTAGTGCTTAGTGAGTTAATCTAGGAGATACTAAAAGCGAAGAAAAACCGGTACTAACGATTTCCTAAAATATAGTTGTATGGCAGTAACTGAACTGATACACTCTAATAAAGTTGGTTAATGGGTGACTGTCGTGGACGATTTGAATATTACTTGCACAAAAATTAATTCTTAGAACCCAATATATCTGTGGTACTTTGATATCAATCCAGATGCGTGTACACAGATTCGTTGTCATCCGAAGGCTCAATGTGAGTATGGTTTCTGTCGTTGTATGAATGGTTATAAGGGAGATGGTTACTGGGATTGCCAACCTGTTATCAATGGTAAGCATACTAAAAGTTTCTAAAAAATCATCAAACTTCAGATATTATTTATTCCATGGCATGTTCATATCTTCATTTGGACTGTTATTATGATGTAACATCTCCTAGCATGAAAGCATTCACATGTCATAGCCATAAAAGAAATAAGCATGACATGCAGAATATGTTTGCTTGAATGTTTAATTCACAAACGGTGGCAGTTGTAAGTACGTTCATTTCTCTTATTTATAATATAAACCAGCTGGTAGATGTGATCCACACTTTTTGAAGAGTATCTACTGAGAAATTTTCATACTAAATACTTTCAGAAACAATCCTTTGAATAAGCATGCTTTGTTAGTTTCCAAATAGAAAAACATTTATTTTTTTCTTAATATATGCAACTGTATATTTTGTTTTGACATCAGCCATAGATACTTGCCGCGACGAACAATGTCACCAGTTTGCTAGATGTGTTGAGGAGCGATGTCGTTGTATAGATGGATATGAAGGAGATGGTTATCAGATATGCAATGCAATACCCGGAGGTAAGTAAATTCCCTACAATTCTTGCTTTGAAATATTAAATCTTTTGCTTAAGTAAATTTCTACTAGTTTAGGAAAAAGTATCAAAATAAACGTAATCATCTACTTTAAGATCGTTGGGTTTCTTAGCTCATTATACCAAGTTTATACCCAAAACGACTGAATAATTAGTTAGTTTATAAGTAACCAAATTTCTACGTAGTTCTACTAAAATGCACACAAATAAAGGGTGATACTTACTCCCTGTCAGAAATTGCATTTTCCAGTAAATGTACAATGAAAAATGAATTAAACTTAAGAAAATGAAATATAACAGAAGTTTATTGAGTACAGAAATGAAGTATAGAACTTAAATAAAATTTCAGTCTGCTTTTTGGCTAGCCGTGGAATTCAGGACGCGCATTTCTTCCTAGTTTGGATTCACTTGACTCAGTATAGCAACGAGAAATCAAAAATATGAATGAACAACAACCGATACCCTTTTTCAAAATTTTGGTTTTCATGCTCCAGTGGTCTACTGGGTAATGCTTTGGTGTCTGAAACTATGGATACTGGGTTTGTATCTCAATGGGAATAACATCATACACTAAAGTGCAGATACATCCAGATGACCAGTGAGTTCCGAATAGGACGAAACGAGCGTCTTCATTTTCATCGCTAGCCACCAAGTAGACTACAATATAATGAATATCCAGGCAGTATTAAGACATCCGCATAAAAGCTCATGCCCTGCAGAGGTCGAGCAATTCAACCCAGTACAGCAAAGCGAAAATACAAGTATCAATAAAGAACTTAAGTTCGTTTGTGCGTAGATTATCAATGACGAAAAGTCAAAACCTAAATTTAGAAGAACGTAAACTGTCATTCTCCTAATGTTCGATATGCATCTCCGTTGCCTAAACTCTGGGAATCAATAGCCGCTAAAATATCAGATTACCTCTTATCATCTAACGTTTTCCCCAATTTTCGCCTGATTTTGTATGCACTATCACACCACTTAAGTAAAATTAAACTTCAAAGTAAGCTGATGACGGGTGTTAGTTATCTAATAGTCGTATTACCTCAGAAGTTCTCTGATCATAGTCTGTTGTAATAGTACAATCAGTTAATTATCCTCAAACATTCAGTTCGCACTATTTTCTAATGTTTCCTTAATAAACTTTTTGTCAGTTTTACTAAATTTACTCTTAGGAAATATGGTTGAGACATTTAAAACATTATAGACAGCTTATGATAGCTAAAGGAATTTCTTAAAGAGACCATGTTGTAATGATTCAACTGTAAGTGCTTTCATCAAATCAAATAAAGGCCTCCAACGATAGCTGTTTAATGTTCTTCTAGCCTTGAAAGTTAGTAGTGCTTGAAAAACTCCAAACGAATATCAATCTCATCATGACCCACAGATATCCTTCAAAGGTTCAGAAGTATCTGTTGGAGACTAACTTGACAAACCGACTTGAAAATTTCCCCAGTGTTTACACTTCCCATGAAATCCGTTAAAATTTTCTGCTATTATCTTTCACTTGTAATTGTGCTGAATTATCTACACTAGTAATTCACTAAAAATTAATTTAAGTTATAGTAGTAATACTGGTGATCACTTAGTTAATAATGAGGAGGATTTTACATTATTAGATAAACTACGGGTCAGAAATTAGTTATTGCTGCTAAGTTCTTAAGTGGGTTCTGTAATTTCCCGAATAGCCATACTCTTGAGAGCCCGCTGCTATCCATTAAGGTGTTTTTCCTTAATTCGGCTATCAACATTCAGTGTAACAGGTTGTAGTAACTTTTAAAATGCGCGACAGTACATAATACGACGGGATAACATGACTGAATGATTAAAACAATGTAGGAAGGAGAAATTTGATACAACATATTTCATGGTAAAACAAGGTAGCCCAAAGTTCAAACAGGCTAACAACTGTGAAGGTATAGTAACTTCAGACGACTGTTTAGCAGTCTCCAATGTTTAAACAGCTATCTTGCATCTCAGTTGGTAGAGCACCAGGCCATTATTCCGAAGGCCGCTGGTTCGAAACCTAGCGTGACCTACATTTTCATTTCACCTTCAATCATTATCCAGTCCCGATGTTTCTTATTTGTTGACAGTTATACTTTTATCCAGCCAACAAATTTACAAATTACGCAAATCGCTTAATCTCGCGTTTCTCTTACATCCTTTAATTTCAGTTTCCGCAGACTGCGGTACATGCCGTGGTATACCCTTCAAAGAGATAGCTCAGTGTGTGGCAGGACGATGTGTCTGTGCTCGTGGTTTCATCGAAGTTCAGGCAGGTGTCTGTATGGAATGTGTTCAAGAGAATTGTCATCGTGATGCCCTATGTCGACCAAATGACCAATTCAATGGAGCTTATTCATGTCACTGTAAGCCCGGTTTTACTGGAGACGGAGTATCTATATGCAAACCTGAAAATGAAGGCAGAGAAGAAAACTATCCATCTGGTTCAGTTGATTCAACCTGTGGTGGAGGCTGCAGAGTCCGAAACGCAGAATGTGATAGATATACTGGAATGTGTAAATGTCGATCAGGTTTTGATGGAGATGGTGAAACAGGTTGCTACTGGAACTGTAAACTCTGCTTAGCAAATGCAATTTGTGATCGTGAAAATGAAAGGTGCATTTGTCCATCTGGTTACCGTGGCGATGGACAAACATTTTGCGAACAGATTCCAATCCGACAAGGTACGCATAAGTGATCAATAAAGCAAATTTTATACAAACTACTTATAATCTTTTTTCTGTAAATAAACCTTGTGAGAGACTTTTAATACTGTCACAAATCACAAAGGGTTTAAGATATATCCTAGTGTTTGAGACACAATGGGAAACCAGACAGATAGTAGGTTGATATGCAAGAGTATTCCTAATTGGGAAACTCACGCATTTCATACTTCACTTAGTTTCATGTAAGAAACAATTGTACGGAAGATTTTTAGCAACATCCACTGACAAGTGTAATTCATTTACTTACGTTTCTCTTTTAGATTCTATAAAAGTACGAATTATAGGAGAAGGCGAAGTAATGCATGTAACAGATGTATCTCATCCCCTTGAATTACGATGCTACGTAACTGGTAGTGATCAGTCGTATTCTGGTCAATGGATTCAACCACATTCTGCTCAAGAACCAACTGTGACCAGATCTAGGCAACCAGATGGTTACGAACTTCTACTACGTATAAATCAACCTATATTAACTGATAGCGGAAGATATGAATGTCGTGCTGGAAATACTGGTACTTTCATAGATGTAACCATAGAAGAATCAGCAAGTATGTGAATTTGACATCTACCGTTTATCTTTCAAATATGGAAATTTTATTTTCAGATAAAAGTATTTCTAACCATATCAAGTGTCATAGAAAATGATTGACAGTAAGTTACTCAGTCAATATAAGTATTGGAGTAATGAGTAATAGTCCAAATTGCCAAGTTTGACACTTGATCGGCATTCAGTGATTAAAGGTATTCTCCAAAAAGACCTGAAACTAAATTCTGCACTTACAGATGATAGTCATAAATATGTTTATACAGCCTATTGAAAAATCTTCTGCTAATTCCCAATTAACTTCAAAGACATATCGCCAAAAAATGCTGCACTACTGTGTCATGCACTTTGATCTAGTAATCAGATTCAAAACTTAATGGATGGATTTTAGCCAGCAGTATGGTCTTATGGATGATGCTGGTTACCCCCCACTAATCAATCCTTATACTGTCACTTTTCTGGGTTCCCTAACTGAGTGAATGATGATATTACATTTTCTAATAAATACTGGTAGGCATGAAGTTTAGATCCACATGATCTGGCTAACTGCTGTCAGCTTTCTGTCCTCTCACCTAGTCACTAGTCAAACCCAATAAAACTGTCCAAAGAAGCCACACTGACTTTCTTAAGCAACAACCTTCAAGTATAAATGAAAGCTAACCAACGAGATTAATTGTCTTTCAGTTAAATATTTCGGTGATTGTATACTTTAGTTATTACAAGCCAGCTAAGTACTTACACCAATCAGCAACGCGAACACCTGATTTGGACCATGCTACCCATTTAGGATAAATTTTGGAATTAAACGATAATGAAGACAATGATGAAAGCGGCTCAAAAATTTGTAAACACCTTTAGTTAAAATCGTATCATGTGGTAGCAGACGTATTCCCACTTAATACTGTGTACATAGTTTCATTTTATTTCAAGGCGTTCTCATCACTGACCGACATTACCCGGAGAACCATTGAAGATTTAGAAGTATTGACAGTTTTTCTTTATGGTTTAAGTGTCTTCAACAGTGAGCATCCATGATTTTGGTCAATACTAAACACTCCTTGAGATTGATCAATTGCCTACAAACCTCTAAACTGAATTCTATTGTATGTAAACAAATATATGAATTATCATTTTGACTGTCTGAGATGTCCGTGGTTTGGCAAACTAGTATTCATACTAGGTGATGGTTGAAGGTGAGATGAAAATTTGAACCGCTGCCGAATTCGAATGAGCGACCACCGGGTTTCCGGCCTCGTTGCTCAGTTGGTAGAGCATCGGGTCAGAAACTCGGTAGTCGCTGATTGAAATTCGGCCGCGAGTCAAATTTTCATCTCACCTTTAATCATCACCCAGTATAAATATACGAATAATATTCACCTAAAAAATCAAGCATTTTCGTCCTCTAACTACTATTCCTCAATTAAATGATAATCAAAAATAGGTTTGTAGGCTACAGTTATAAACTTTTTAAAAAGATTTTGTTTACAAAGTACATTTCATATTTAACTAATCATCACAAGATATGTGATTCAATTCGATTGACTGGAGTTTTCAGTGTTGTAATCCATTCCAGCATTAAGTTTAAGATATACCGTAGAGTAAAATTAACCAATTATATGTCAAAAGTGAGACATTTTCATGAAAACAACAGGAGAATGATATCTGATAGTATCCTGCGTAAACCCAAACAATACTCAGGGTATAAAAACTAATTACAGACAATTTGATTATCTCTGTACTTTGAGTTGAATTTAAACAGCTTATGCCATGAAAAGCAGTAAAATAGACTAAAAACCCCATCGTAATCCTTGATAAACACTAATTAAACACAAGGTTAGCTAGAAATTGACTACGGTCATCAACAAGATTAGATAGGATATTCATTTCAAGCTTCTAAAAAAGAGTTCAAAAATGCGCTAGTTATGAATAGTCAGTTGTTTAACGTTAGTCATTAAAAAAACACATCTGAATTTAACTAATTAACCTGAATGAACTAATAATTTCTGCAATTTAAACATTTCAAAACTGTTACTAATGTTATCGTCAAGTATTCATACATAATTATAACCTAGTCACTGTAACTTTCAAAACTAAATGAAAAATAATCTAAACAGCAGAGACTTACTTTACAAAAAAAATTAATACAGCCGTTTAACGGCTGTGTATAATCACTGTGAACTATATAGAAATGTCTTTTTCTCAAAATGAATCAACTCCGCTAATTAGAACACCGTAGAAGTGTGCTGGATAGAAATTAAACTTGAAGTAAGACGTTGTGAGTCAATCGGCAGGAAGCCCTAGACCTAGTTTTATCGCTTTCTGGCACTCATCAACAAGGCGTATATCTGCAGCCTAGATGAAACTTAAATCATCCCGGTGATCCAAGCCTGCGTTACTCGGTGTTGAGATCAAAAATTTAACCAGTAAGGTATTTAGGTAGCAACTGACCCCTTATGGGAGGATTTGGTCGCCATTGGCCCACTATATTACTTCCTAGTTCTTGGTGTTTATTCCATTTTCTTCATGATTACCAATTCGCCTTACTGATGAGTAACAAGAAGCATGAAATCCAGGCCCAGAACATCTTGCTGAGTGACTGCCACCATCTAACACCAAAATACAATGGTTTGCAGTGTCGTATCACTTCATTTGTTGGCTATACTGCAAAGCTTGGTCTATAAACTTCGGCCAGTGCCAGGCAATAAGGACTAGACAGCTACATGGATTACACACTGGTGATCAACTAGTGGACAAATGTATTGGTCTCATTTAAAAAATAACAATAATTAAAGCTTTATTCCAAAAAAGATGCCTGATAGAGTATAGAATCCTAATCGTATAATATTTCAACAGAATCAATCCCAGAACAATATTTTCAAACAAAGTGATCACTGAATCTGAATGATGTTCATAACAACAGTATTAAAAGCAATATTGTGAAACACCCAACTGTTTTTAGATTTGCGTCCAATCTAGCATGGAAAATGAACAGAAAAGCGAGTGTAGGTGTGGTCATGGGGGTTCATCCAGTCAGTACAAGAAACTCGAATTCGAGCTAAGTAACCGAGGAATAAAAATATGACATATATTTGTCTACTAAATATCCCATTTCCACCTAAAGTGACAATTAGCAAATTAGAAAGATGCTAGTTCAGTTCTTATTTAGTTTTCCTTGATCCTTCATCTCACTGTAGATTGTAATGTAAATTATTTTTATGGTTATTGACATTTCCGTTTTTTTTTATTTCGAAACCAACCCATATAAGAAATCTTAATAATTCCTTCATAAGCTTCTACCCTATTTCATTTCATAGTTCCATTTAATGTAATTCTTACAAGTGACGATGGAATATTGATGACACAATCAACTGACTCTAATGTTACGAAAGCCACATTATGGAATATTGGTAGGTGATATTACTAAAACTGTTTTGTACTGTTTTTATATTCATTATTCCTAATGCATACTAAATGTAAATGAGTAGTACTTTTTTTAATACACCCGACTGTGAACAAGCTTAGAATCATAAATGTATTGGCTAGAAACTAATATCTGTCTACTGACTGTTGTTCCACTTCAGTCATATATGTATAGTCAGCCGCCAAGTACATCCTTTTATCCCAATGTAGCTTTATTTAAAGCTTGAAAAATTCACTACTAGTTTATACAAATGACGAGATTCATTTATCAGTCATTATCAACTGAACCACCATTAACCAGTAGTTGACTGTTAGACACCAGCTTAGTGTCTTTATAAACACAACCGTTTGTCATAACTACTTCCATGTCAGTCTATTTCACATAATGCATAGCTCGGGTGACAATAAGTCATCAGTGTTTTTCGAGATAAATGGGGATAGTATTCATCACGGACTGATATCAGTTGCAGAACTATTAGAAACCTGGAAGCACTGGATAGCTGTTTCATCCTAGTATGGGACTCCTCAGCAGTACCCACTCACGACCAGGCTAGGAATCGAACTCATGACTTCCAGGTTTCCCAGCGAACATGTTAACGATACAGCCACTGGGTCGGATTTCAATGGTTCACAGTTTCCAACTTCTGTCAGTTCGCGATATACCGCGACTATCACCCAAGGTCTTCATTTGGCATCCTTTTCCCTTCTGACTGGTTGACCCCACAGATCATTGAATCCTGTCACTATTGAGCGCTATACAGTAATATATTTTGAGGTCAATGAGGATTTTAATTGATAGAAGTTTGGAACTGTGAACCATTTAACTCCGACCCAGTGAATGAATGGTCAACGCGTTTACCGTGAAACCTGAAGGTTCTGAGTCAGATTCTTAGCCGCGTCGTGGGTGCGTACCGCTGAAGAGTCCAGTGCTAAGACAAAACACCTGTCCAATGGCCCCAGGTTTTTAATGGTTCTCCAACTGGTGCAATTACATAATGAATACTACTTCAAAAAGAAAACAACGGTTTACAGAGATAGAAAAGCAAAGAATTCAAGTTATGACAGTTTAGTGACATGCCAAACAAGCCCAACAACGCATAAACTTGAAATCACCAAGGATTAGAAGTGAGACGGTGATAATCGGATTTAAGCCAACTTTACATATTGTATTATTAACTCCAGTCTGCGTTAATAAGTATGTGCAAGAATAACTGTAATGGTAAAGAAGGTGACCTTTACGATCATCAAATTACATCATGATCTGGAACAAAGGACAATATAATGTAGGTGAATTAGCAAATCGCTCAGAGAGGCTTTTTCCAGGTGTGAAAGTAAAGTGGAACAAAAATCGAAATTGTAAGAAACCAGCAGAAAAATTCCTGTGATCTAGAAAAACCTGAAGGAAGCTCTCCTATCGCGGCTCATGCCTAAAAATTCACATGATATTTCAAATTTATTCATGTTTGTAGATTTTTCAGTGTTACTTCAGTTAATCACTTCAGAAATTATTGGTTTCTTTTGACTTTTCTAATCCTACTACATAATACTTTATTCATTTATCATTTTCATCAGTTTTACGCTCCTTTATGAGTTATATACATCCTATGAACCATTCTATATATTACATAATTCACTTTATCATTCAAACTTTAACTGGTATCATAAGTACCTTTATCGTTATCATTATTATTAATCATTATAAATTGTTTGATGCTCAAATAGTAATTTATTCTTTCTCACTCCCGATGACTCCGAACTCCATTGTACTTTTCATAGTAAAATGAATTTCCCCACCGTATTTTTTCCCACCTTACACAACTCGAAAGAGTCTCTCTGACCGATTTTCTGAGTAACTTTAAAGGCTGCCCTAGCAACCACTGAGCTAACCAATTAAGCCTCTATATTTTGTGAAAACCTACCTCTGTAGCCGTGATACCGAAATCTGATTAGTTATTTCCGCAGTTGCCAGGGTGGCCTTTAAAGTCGCCCGATTTTCTAATTCACTTACATACATTATATTGTCCTTTGTTCCATATCACGATGTAACTGAATGATCGTTAAGGTCACCTATACCGAAACTTGAATATTAACCTTGAAACTTAATGTCAGATTCACACTCTTGAAAAGGAACTTCCTCACAAGATTGAAACGTTGAGGAACAATAAAAAATATTTGTTTATTTTGTTATTTGTTCTAATACACTACTCTAAGATTAAACAAGTAAAAATACGACTGACTTTAAAGACCACCCTAGCAACTGCTAAATTAACCAATCAAATGTCATAATTTCGTCTTGAAAGATAGTTGCCTATAGAATTGAGGAACGTGTGATTGTTTATCTCAGCAGTCACCCAAAAATATACCTTATATGGTGAGTCATGCTAACTCGGTACCCAAGTTTTTTCAAACTACTCAGTGCATTGTTTGTCAGCAAACGTTCATTTGTAATGGGTCTAAATGACCATTCAGGTTAGGCTCAAGCAAAGCCAGCACGTTACAAATATTCACACAAAGTCACTTCTTCACGAAGCTCGTATGCACCGGTAACTATGTCTTGGATGACACTGAAAGAATGCTAACTAAAACTCCAGCTCAGAAAACAACTCATCTAGAGCATCCTATACCCGGAGCAATACATTTTCGCTACAACTTATATTTACACCTATATAACTCTATGCTAAAAGTTTTCAGTTGATACAGTGATTCAGAAGAAGAATAATGCAGCTACTCACTTTTGTTTCCAGAGATTGTCTACAACCTTAGTTTCAAATTACAAGAGGCCTTCTTGACCTAACCTGATTGTGATTTCTTGGTAGCTACTTGCGTTTATTTGCTAACTGTACTTTCAAGCCGCAGTATGGTTAGTGTACAGGTTGAGGCTAAGAGTTCTGTGGTAAATCCATTCATATTTCAAGGATTTCAAATCTGCCACACAGTCACTGAATTTGATATACAAATTTCAGATGGATCTACAGGGAATATTACTAAATATTTTAATCGTCGAATTCTAAGACCTTTAACCCTACAAACCTTCACATGTGATGAACCGAGGAGACACTTAATCATGTTTCGCAGAGGGATATAAATTGTCGAATTAAAGACCGACTCTAGAAACACAAATTTACACAGTATTATGGTATACATTTCAAGTTGTAGAAATTTGAAATTATCAATTTACAAAAGCAAAGCTGTTGCTTTGTACGATCAGTGTGAAATTAGTATATCCTTTGTTCAGTCATGAAACACTTCACTAATGAATGTGCAGTTTGCAGTGTGAAGGGATTCTTCATGGCATATACTTTGAATAGTTAAATAAGTGACTCTGATTCCTGAAGATAGTTACGTTTTTCTTGTGAGTCATCAACTTATCAAAATAAATCCATTTTATTGCAGTCTGTTTGGTGGCTACCAATAAAATCCAGGTCTTACGTTTCATCCTATTTGGAACTCGTCGGCTGGATGTACCTGCGCACCTCAGTGAGTGATATTGTTCCAAATGAGACTAGAACCTAGTACACATCACCAAAGCGTTATCCACTAGGCCACTGGGACACAAAAGCCAAGTATCAATAAATTAATTTTTGTACAATTACTCATGAAACTTGTAAATGGATTTTCGATGAAAAAACTTGGACATGGAAGTGGTTCATCAATAAATCTTTTTAAATAATCTAAAATCAGCTAAAACTCATTATTCTAGCAGTCGCGCTGAAAGATGTATAATTCTATCAGTAAACAGACACCATATTTTCCCATGTATTTGACTAAAGGTGTTATTGAAAAATTTAATTCTCATCTTAATTTCCAACAATTTCTTTTTTTCGTTGCTCATCTAGCTGAAAATAACAAATATGGACGTGTTTCTATGGTGGCTGACTGCAATAACCAACGAATTATCTATACATCAGATTATGGTCATGCTATTCGTTGGGGTAATGCAAATTCTGAACAGCAGCAGTTGACTATAAAGGAAATATACAATTCCCAATTTAGTCGATTTCGTAATTTGGCTGTAGACCCATTATCAGGAAATGTATTTGCTTGGGATGAAGCATATGGAAAGATTATTGTCTTTAATCCAGCTAAACCAAATATTCGTTGTACACTTGAAAATCTACATAGTTTAACTTCCTCAGTACCACAGAATTTTGCAGGGATTACCTTGCACCCTACATTAGGGTAAGTTAACAAAAGACTGATAAATTGATGAATAGCATGGCTTTAGCCACTTCAGTTTTAATAGTCACTAACAGAAAATACTAAATTACTTTTGAAACTGTATCTTACCTGATGAAAAAGTTCATTTTGAATTCAAATGGTAACTTTAATTGTCTACAACAGCTTCTTTCACTAAAACAACTTGATGCGTTTTACAGACAGAGCTAATGACGTGACGGTTGGTATCACCTGAAAAATAGATCTTATGCACTCAGAGTACCCAACTCAGTCCTATAGGAGGTCAGTCTAGGCCTAATTAGCTCAACGATAACAAATCTAACTGCACCAGAGTGATGCGGATTCAAATCTGACACGAGATATCGTTTCCCTCAAGGATCCAGATACACCTTAATGGCGAGTGCCAACACACACGAAACCTTGATCAAGTAGGGCCTCCTGTTGATTTGCTTCCAACCATCTAACACCGATCATAAAGCACTATGATGGTGAATCTCCCAGCCTAGTGACCACATAACAAAAACATAACCGGTAAAATTCAGTTAGCACTTTCGACTAGATAACAAACTGGTTTCTCTTCAGAGACCAATTTGTGCAAAAATAAAATTATAAATGGTTATATGAAACTTTTATAGAAAACCAAATTTATTTTACTAAAATACAATTCAAATAAAATGCAATGGTAGATAAAATAGCATATATTAGCATAGTTCTCAGTGAAGAATATTCATCAACAGTACTATCTTCTAATGAAAATCACATGGCTAAACGAACCTTCAAATCCATATGGACTATTCTCTTAGCTAGACTCATATTTTAACAAGATTTGGTTTCGCTATAGTTCAGTGTTGACCAAATAAAGAACATATGTTTAACAGTTGAATTGGATAACTAACTATTATAATATGGTCTCGATTACCATAATAAGTATGAATGACTCACATTTATCGGTACCTTTCAGCAGTGACCTTAGCTGTTCATAGTTGTTTCATAAATGTACAACCAAACATTTTTCCCCTAAAAGATACTTCTGTTACAATTAAACATATATACTTCAGCCGGGTATTACATTTTAAACTTCAGAAGGTCAAAATAATTTAAGAATTGACTTTATAAGTCAACCAATCAGATGACCTGTATGCCAAAGATTTTGTGTCGACTGCTACAACAGATTGTAGATGTCTTTGATCACCTCCCAGATACATAGTTCATTCCCCAGCATACTATGACGGGCATAACACTGTGCGTAAACAGCTTAATTTTTTTTAAACTATTAATTACCATGAGACATTATGCATTTAAAATTTATTTTCTTCATTCGTGTGAAGCAGGTTACTACAGGCTGTTTACGATTTTGTATTCGGAATCAAGGATAAGGAAGTTTATTTACTAACCACTTAGAACGAAACATTATGAATCCTGTGAAAACGAAATTTTCACTACACCTGCAATCATCACTGATATGGTAATCCATGACTATCTCAGATAACCCCAATAATAATACCCAAGAAGATACTTTGTTTCTAAGTATGAAAAGATAAGGTTTCATTTAAATATTTAATAACTCTAAGGATTGTAATGTCTAAAGGAGTGGATGTGCAAAGGATACAATTTCGGAAATCTACCTTTCTAATTCACCAGTACTAAATAAATTTACCAATATGACAAGCAGCTTGAAAGTAAATCGAATCCTAATCATGGTAAGTTGCTTGGTTGTGGCTATCAGACGAATCCAGGATGCGCGTTTCGTTCTACCTGGGACTCGTCAGCTGGATGCACCTGCACCCCAGTGAGTGATGTTGTTCCCACTGAGACTCAGACCTCGTACGCATCGCTTCAAATGCCAAGTCGTTACCCATTAGGCCACGGAGGCACTACAGCCACTTCTTGTACAACAGGCACATCCAGGTACAGATACATTCAGCTGGTGAGTCCCAAATGGGACGAAGCGCGTTTCCTGGATTTCTCTGCTGGCCAAAACCAAGGAAATTAACATAATTTACATTCAGGCAATACTGAGGCATCCTTATGGAAACCCATATGCCAACAGAGGTGGGACAATTCAACCCAATAAAACAACGGATAATTACAAGTATATCAATAAATAGTAATAGGTCAAATCTACTCAGAAACCTTGTGCACATTCAAGCAGTAGGCGGTGAGCCACACCTATTGTGTGAGGGTAAGTAACACTGTCTGGTTGCTTGAACCTCGGCAGGTGGCGCGGCTTTCGAACTTCCGACACACTGGTTGAAAGTCAATTCCCTAAACCAACATGCCACAACTCCACACTCACAACTTGATATTATGATCATTGAGAATGATTTCTGCAAATAGTTCAGCACCGAATGACGCAGTAATATTTTTACAAACAGCTTTATGATAATCGACATTGTCATAAATTTTTTAGTAAATATAATCATATTCAAACTTAAATAAAACAGTAAGACGTAATTGAAAGCGTATGAAGCAGTTAAACTGACAATTTTGCTTCCTAAGAGTCGTCACTGTAAGAAGATTACACCCCAAGATGTCAGTCTTACACTGTGCAAATATAATCTGCAGCAGTTTTTACATATTATCGCTCAGTCGACGGTTAACGTAATTTCAGTTAACCTGCAGCAAATTCTTAATTTGTAACTCACGCTTTGAGAATAATCTGACTGACTAAATGTAGTCATCACAATTCACATTACACGTACGTGATTATTTCAATGTTTAATTAAATCAGTGAGTGAGATAAGAAATGAATAGACTAAGGTTACTTAGCATTCGAAATTTCAGCATTCTCACAGGAGTTTCCCACTCTGTAACGCAGTGTATTGAAAACGTCCGAATCGACTGTTTGATGCTTTGATCTCTGCTGCCTAAAACTGTTATAGTGACATAGAAGTATCTACATCGTACCTTCTTTAAAATCTTGAACATCTTATGTTACCTTCGAGTCCATCTGTCACTCTGTTTTTTCATTGATGTGTAAACCATCTTATATACACTGATTGTATACTGTTCCCTTGTTTCTGTTTATACGATTATAGTTTAATGTACTGGGCAATATATACAGATGGTTGGAGACCAAACGGTACAATTCAGGTGGCTTCAATGTCAGGTGAAAATGAAGAACAACTGCTACAACTCACTGGTGAACCATTAGCTATAAGTATATCACCATCAACACCAGTGAATGGTAATTCAGCGGGTAAATTATGTTGGATGCAAAGATCTACAAAAGGAATGTATGGCTTAATCACTGAACTACATTGTGCACGTTTAGGTCAAACAGGCAGAGAAATACTTACTAATGAAAGAATTAAAGAATTCAATCCCTCTGAAGAACCATCTTTCGGTATGACACAATACAAAGGATCATTACTGTGGACAGATGCAACAAAGTAATCATTGTTTGATGATAAAGTTTTAGAAATTATTAATTAACTTACCTTGATAATATTAATTGTCGATATTCTTTACATAAACAGAGTGGAGTGTATGCATATAGCACAAAACTCTCTTCAAACCTCGCACACGACCGTAAAATCATATACTGTCCCATCACCCTTCGTGATCTGGCAACAAATGTTCATGTGAACACTATCAGAGCATCTGACAGGGTAGGTACCCCGGTCAAGGTAATTAGGTCACATTACATATAGATTATATAGTGTTCCCCAGTAGCCCACACCGATTTCTCGACGTCTGAACTACTAAGTCAACACTGCAGCCTGGATTTATAACCGCAAGGCCAGCGTACATGGTGTCCAGCACGAAGTCGGGTGAATGCGGGCACCAAACCCGTGAATGGCAAGGCAAACTGATCGCCTAAACTATCTATTGTTTTGTCTTCAGATTTCTCCTATAAATTAGCGATGATTATTGTCGAATTCACAAAGCTGTTAGTAAAACAAAAACAAAGGACTTCAATACATTTATAGCTGGTTATGGTGGAATGAGAAAACATTTTGCGTTTATATCACTCTCTCTAAATTAGACATTTCTCCCACTTCGCTTTCAAGCTAAAAACAACATCCTTAGTGGAGACGAACTGGTACTAACCATCCATTTAACTGATGTCATCAATATACACTCCTCCTGGCAATTCACTCCAATCGTCTACGAATTTTGCTGATGAACAACCCGAAAAATGAAGTTTGGATAAATGAACTCGACTGATTGCCAGGTAGTTCCACAACGGGTTCACATTAGTTGGAGAACCACTGAGAGTATGGGAGTATTGGAAAGTTGGTTCGCATATGTAAAGGACTCTTCAACAGCGTGAAATTAGGACTCAATGAAGGATCAAGCCTACCACCGTTAGTTCTTGTGGAGAGCACATCACCATTCAGCTGTGGTCCGTGGTTTAGAGAAATGACTATTTACCAGTGAGTCACGGATGTGAGCCCGACTCCACCTACAGAGGTTAGGGCAGGTAGCATCACCAACCCTTGCACGAACGTGCACAAGGTTGCAGAGTGCATTTGCATTTTTGCACTCCATTCAGCTAACAGGTTGAAATCAACTGGTTTACATTTTCCTACTTCTGTTAACTTACAGTATAGCGTAGCCACCGTCCGATTTTGTAGACCACACAGGTCATGGCTTCTCATCAGCACTTCCAAAAAATCCTCCTGGAAACAAGTCACTAATAAGTACTGGTAGATACTCAGTCGGTTGTACAGGGTAATTGATTGGTTTAAAGGTAATTTTGTTCAACGAAGCAATTTGTAAATAAAAGATTTCTAGCATTCTTTAAAAAATTTTTTCTCCAAAAAACAAATATAAAGTGATTTAGAGATGAATACCACGATTCAACAGCGGCTAAATATTAGATTAGACTGATGAAATGTATTTTTTGGAAATCACCATTTCATTAACTCAACAAAATAATAATACAGTTTATAAGCATCAATAAGGAAAATTTCAGGATGTAACTATAACATGCAGCAGAGATTTGCTCAATTTCGTTCAATAACTCCTGTTAAAAAGACTGTATTTACGATCCAATGAAAACCTCTCAGTGATGCACATCCCACTGGGAACATCAAATAGAAATTATACTGTGTGTCCAACTCGAAAAGATCACTGGCAATTTGTTGAACTGGGGTTGTGAACTGTGCTACGTCACATTTTCAAAGAAGTGTACTTCATTTTAAAGTCTCAGAAATACCTTCTTGACTGGAAGTAATCGGCCAAACTCTTGATTACATGAATCATTGTAAAGTCTTCTGAACTATTCAAAACTAATTGTAATAAACGGTGGTTTTAGATCTCATGGTCTCACTGTTTCTCAGTTGACAGAATCAAGTCAGAAAGTAAGGTCACGAAGAAAATTAGTAGCCTTCTGACATAACTAACTTGGTATGAAGTATCTTTAAGAAAGGTAATGGTTAACTGATACTACTGGAAAAAAATCAAACATGATGTTTTTCTCAACATTAAACAAAAAATTCATCACAGACTGACATCAATTAGGGAACCATTGAAAACCTGGGAGCATCGGGCAGCTGCTCTGTCCTAGTATGGGACTCAGAAGGAGGGATCGGACTCAGGACCTACAAGTTTCACGGCGAACGTGTTAACCATTCAACTAAAAAATATATTACTGTATAGTGCTCATTAGTGGCATGCTTCTAGACAGATATTACGAAGTTCTAATGAAAAGCCGTAACCTGTGGAGTCAACGGATGACAACTTAAGACTTTGGGTGATAGTTGCACTATCATGGAACGACAAAAGTTGGAAACTGTGAACCATTGAAATTCGATCCAGTAGCTGAATGGTTAACATATTCTCTGGGAAATCTGAAAGTTCTGAGTTCGACCTCTAGCTGGGTCATGGATGTGTACTGCCGAAGAGTCCCATACTAGGACGGAACAGCTCCCCAATGCTCAAAAGTTTCAATGGTTCCCCAACTGATATCAGTCCGTGATGAATACTACCTCTAAATTAAAAATCCCCACTCATCTCAAAAAAATGTTTTTGTTATTTGTGTTCAGGACGGTATTTTACTCGACCAATCCTGATCGTCGGATCCGTGTTCGTTATGTGTGCTGTTCGAATCGTTTTCAAGCTTTAGCTGTGCTTGGTGAATGCCCCCAAGGTAAGAAATAAGTATATTTTTTATTTCCCTACTTCAAATAAATTTTCCCTATCTTTTGAACAGTATTTTATTGTTTTTAGTGAGAGATGTTCTGACTGGATCATATTACAAATAATTTGTATAGTAAATAATTTTTCTTGAAAAGTATTTTTTTATTCATTGGCAACAATAAAATCCTATGCACGTCAGCATATTACGTTGATAAATAACCAAGCACTTTGTTTATTCAGACCCAAAACTACCTGCTATAACCACTCATTTCGAATGAAACTTTGCTGTAACATTTGATTTGGAAATAGTTATTCACATTCAAAACCTATCCGAAAGAGAATTCCTTGGTTATTTAATATAGAGTATGTAATGTTATCAAAGTCTTACTTATATGCATACAATGGTACAAGTTCAGTAAGAATTTATAGAACAAAACAATCTTCGTTCATTTGTCCATGTCTTATTCAGCATAAAATTAGGAGAAGAAAAGAGACGATAGGAACTTTGATTCCTGACTGATATCTCTATTTTCAATAAACCTCACACCACAAATGATGACCGACTGACCCATTCTTGTTGCGTATGTATTCTGCTTGTCGAACAATGTACATACTTTCGAGAAACATGAAATTGTCTATTTAGCAATAAAAAAATGATCACCTTAAAACTCATAGAAAGGCGCAGTAGACTTCAATCAGCTTGAGTTCTTAGTGGATTACTCCTGGTGTTTGAAGCTAAGTGTACTGGGTTTGAGCCTCAGTGAGAACAACACTCAATGGGATGCAGGCACATCCAGCTGATGAGTCCCAAATAGGACGAAGAGCGCTTCCTGGATTCCTCTGCTAGTCACTAAGATCAGTACAGCTTGAGTTCTATCTACAAAAAAAGAAAATTAAACTTCAAACAGTCTTAATTATCTGCTTCCTAATCTAAAATATACATGTTCAAAGAATATTGTTTATTACCAGACAAGAAATTTTTAGTAAAAGCATATGAACTAATAAATAAACATGTGACTGGCGAATTTCAGCAAGCTGTTTTGCGTGAGCGATCACAATCATTCCACTACGAAGTAGAGATGTACTACGTAGAAGATTCGTTATTGTTATACTCATTAGTATTTCACTGAAGCCTGAGACACAAGAGCTTCATACAAATAGCCTCTACGCCACATTTTTTGTCTGCGCTTTTAGATATGCTTTATAAGACGGTGAGTTAATCATAACAATATATAGGCTACAGCTTTTACCTTGCCATTGTTGACTGAACTGATCGGCTGCTATCAGCATATGAGCTCTTGTGCGGATATCTCAACACTTCCGTTTGACAGTACTGATGGACAGTCACTAATAGAATAATTCAAGAAGTGTATTTCGTCACATTTGGGATTCATCAGTGTAATGTGTCTGTCTCCTAGTGAATGATTTTGTTCCCAGTAGCAGTCGAAGCCAACATCCATTGCTCTAAACGTCAGAGTGTTATCCACTAGACTACGCATCTCGAATAAAAAACGCACATTCTGGATTCAACTGGTAACCAATAAGCGCTATTACTATTAAAAAAAACCAATGAATTCGCTTACACTTCAATTTATTTATTTTTCTAGCTTCAACTAACCCATGTAGTTATTCTAATGGACGCTGCCGTTATATTTGTTTGCCTAATGACGGTGGAAGATCACGTACATGTGCATGCCCAGATAATGAACCTGGATGTCATAAAGAAATATAAAATGCATCATTCTTATAATATTCAACTACCTAATAAAAACTAAACAAACTTGTTCATCCCAGTTCATATTTTCCATTTTGATTTTCTTATTCATTCGCTTTCCTTTTGTTATTCCTGCTAATATTGTTCAATAATTTTCGTATCTACCTGTCAATTGTTCATTATTTATTAGGGTACTGAACTCTTGAATTTGTTTAACTGTTGCGATACTTATATGTTATATTTGTGTTTAATCGTAATACCGATAAAAAGTTTTATTTTCGAATTACTAATTTTCATTTTAAGATTACTACTGTATAACAGTTGCATGTTAGTTTATATTTGTGTATTTTATTCTCTTTATGTGTACGTACACGACAGCATTAGAAAAGTTATGCTTAGAAATGATAAATTGTACCCTTTGCAGAAAAAGTTCTAGGCATTAATAATCATAATCACAACAATGATATAAACTGAGTTCTTCTTTTAGGATTAGTATTCTGTGAATTATTCACTTTTCGAATTCATTATTCTGGAATAAACTACGTTCAATATTCAAGTGTTGTTTATTCGCACTGCCGGTTAAAAGACATTGATAACTGTTGAATGATACTTGTAATTTCCCGTTGTTTTACTTTGTCGAATCGCTCGATCTCTGTTAGTAGATAGGCTCCTATGAGGACGCCTCTATACTGCTTGAATATTTATCATGTTATCATTTATTCTGAGGTGACCAGTAGAGTCCAAGACACACAAGTGGTGGCCCTCGTGTCCCAGTGGATAATGCTTTGCTTTTTGAAACGATGGGTGCTGGGTTCGTGTCTCAGTGGGAACAACATCACTCACTACGATGCAGGTACATCCAGTTAACGAGCCCAAACAGGACGAAATGCCTGTCCTTGATTCTACTCCTCACCATAAAACAGATTATAAGACACTGACTATACTTAATGTATACCACCTGTTGCTTAAGAAAAAGTCAACCACTCACTAACTTAGTAGTTGAAGTTATAATGGCAAAGACTTGAATCCTCAAGTGTTTCGGATTATATCAGGTCACGGATAAGTATTACTTATGAGCATCAACACGTGAAACACCTGGTTCCAAGGCTACATAACAAACTTCAACGAATATTGACTGAATTTTCCAAAAAGGAGAGATGACGAATGATGGTACCACAATCATAAATAAAACTAAAACGTCCATTTGTAGGTAGTTGAGAATAAGATTAGGTTATTCACAATCGGAAAATTGAAGAATATCATGTAAAACAAGTAGGTTGAATTGAAATCAATGAGTAAACAAGATATGGAAAAAGACCATGTTATTACATGAAGGATTTGCCACCAGGGAAGAGTCAGACTAACTGTAGTTTCCTTCTGCACAAAAAGTTTAGGTTGAGTTCATCCAGTTTCAGTTGCTTCAGCAAACCAAAGTAGGATTGCACTTGCTTGTTGAATCATCATTTTAAGGGCAGTTAACGCAACCATGTGCGTGTCATGAACTGACTAAATGTCGAGTGATTGTATTCACAAAAGCTGACTGAAGTCCATCTTTTTTGTCTTTTTAATATACTTTCTATGATGGGTATAGATGAAATTGGAGATGAAATAAGATGAGTACATACCCACTTCCAACTGTGAAAAAAATACGTTTTACTACACATAGAAATGAGTTTAGTTCATTCAGTAAAAATTCTACAGAATCCAAGAACAAATTAGCTCTCGAAAGTTTCTAAAGATAATGATTACTCACTCTTCATAAAAATTTACCTCATAGAATAACTGGGAACATCACAGACACCTAATAAGGCATATATATATATATATATATATATATATATATATATATAAACTACTGTTTCACTGGTTTGTTTAGGGTAGAGCATACAACAATAAATATTCACTGCAGACCGCGATACACAATGGTGTGACTACAGAGTTAGTGTAATCACGAAATACTTTATAAATCAAGCTAAACGCAGAAGACAGACAAGTTGAGTGAAAACCGTCCTACTTATCACTGGTTTTACTTCCTACTCAGTCCTGCTTACTGATCGTCTAAAGTCAAGCTCAAATTGTTGAGATCTTTATATTCATCGATGGTTGTACTCACAACACGCCTACTGAGTAGAAAATATCTTTGAGCCCTTGGAAGAACAATTTTGAATTAATAAGTACCCCAAACACTATACCTATTCATTTACCAATGTCTATGTGAAAAGCTTAAAACTGACCTTTATTTTTGCTAATTCAGAAAACTCTTCAGCGGCTTAACAAAACCTGCAGCAAAAGTTTGAAAAAACAACTGAACATTGGCTTTAGCACCTTCAATCTTTTGCATTACATATTACTATGACACTTTAAGAGATTCAAACATAATTTTACTCACCACAATCTTACTAACGATAGGGAAGAAGTAAATCGAATAGGCCTGTCCCAAAGATGGGAATTACTTGCGTATGCGAAGATGATAGTGAACATATTGTAAGTTCCACCTCTTTATATTGAGACAAAGAGGATCACTTCAAGCTGCCACACTTAACAGCAGTATAGACGTTGGTGTACGGAAAAAGCAATACTTGATAAGGAATGAGAAAGAATGAATAGATGACGGTTAATGGAAATATTCAAGAATTCAGAAGCTTCAGAGAGCAAACTGATTTTCAGCCACCTCACTGACATCCTCAAACCATTGATTTCTATTGTTTCAAGGACCGCAACCAGGCAATCTACACGGCTCAGATCAGCAGTCATAGACTTCATAAAAGTGTACAACACCTTAACCTCCTCATCCTCAACCTCCGTCTTACAACTCAACCCAACTTCAACTAACATTGCACATCAACACACCCATTCCATCGGTATGAGAAACACACATATAATATAGTATATTTCCAAACCTCCACAGTTAGTCAAGATTCATAACCTGATCGATTGACTAGTCCTTCTTGTCTAGTACACTTCGCCTAACCTCAACGATTCTCGAATGATAATTTCACCAGATGTGCGCGATCCTGCAAAGATAACTGTGATCAAAAACGTTTTTTAATCACTACATATCATCTTTTCTCACTAGCCAAGTCTCATGCTCTAATAATGCAACACAGTAGACTGGAGCGAGATAAACTCATCCTCCAATAGGTAGTCGGACATCTCGCCTATGCTAGATATGACGTAGATTGGTGAATGCCATTTTGTCCCTTTCTATCCGAGCACAAATTTATTCAACCACCAACCTGTTTGAGCTGATGCAATTTCCCAAGTAACGTTAGATGAGTATGGACAATAAATTAGGTCCGAAATGTGGTCCAGTAAATAACATTGCTTTACTGTGTGATGCAGCTAATGTATCAGTTACATTGGAATTGCATTTTACCATAGTTTTGCTTTTATATTATTGTTGCTTTAATCAACCAACCGATATTCTAGAAGATAAATGACAAATCTTTGGTGTAGTAAAATGCGATAAAAACTAAGGTGAGGTTTTATATACGTCCAGTGGGTACATTTTGTAGATAGAACATGATTTGTATCTCAAGTCAATCTACAATCTACATAAAAAAGACAACCAGTAACATTAGCATTTCCCCATGGGAGAAAATAAATAGCACATCAACAAGTTCCATGCGTAAAACTCCTTCCAGGGTACGTGAATACGAGCCAAACTTGATGTCTTTGTTCTCATTAGCTGTTGAATTTCAGAAGGCCAGATTATTGTTTACTGCTGCCACAGGAGCTGAGGCTTAGGTTATGACTGTCAACCAGTGGATCCCGGTTTTAAAACCCGATCCACTAGCCAGCTAGGTAGTTTCACTAGCACTCACACACTAGGTGTGGCTTATTGTCTACTCTATGGATGTGAACAAGGTGATTGAGTCTCTTTCTATCCCTCTCGCTGCAACAGCGTTGAAACAATCTTAATATCTTTTTTATAGGTCTAAGTATTCACTATGAAATGACTCCAGGAACTCCAATAACCCATCATTTAGCTCATCAGAGTGAGATTCACCGAATATCTGAAGCTAATGCTTTAAGTACATTTCTGTACTCTTTTTAAAGTCACCACACATGCTACTAACCACACTGTTTATATGCAATATTCCAAAAATCTAAAGCTTCGCTTAACGATGATGATACCCTCCCGTGTACACAAAACTAGCTCAGAGTTGAAGTCCGCAGTTGTATCCTTTTCCTCCAACTTATTCAAGCGCATTAGGAGCTAGAAAGTCAAACAAGCCGTCCACCGCCCTAGTATTCACTGTCCGGACACAACAAAATGAAAAAATATTTGTGAATTAAGTTACTTGTAGTTTAAGGGATCTTTCTGAAGACAAATAGTGTCACAAAAGACTATGTTCTGAATATAAACACTAGGAAGTGCTAAACATATACTTTTTTTATTCTTGACAGTAAGTATATTTTTCTGAACACTTAACACTACAACATAATTTTCAGTAGACCAATGAAACCCACTATCTCTCTTTTCGATAGAAATTAGTCATTACAGAAGAGTGATTGGAATTTTTTGGACCAGATTCTGATTGAACCTGGACAATAACATCCTCATATTCAATATATCTCAACAACCTTAATAATAACCATCTGTTTTGGTTACGTGTGTGAAGTCACTGATTAAATGGAAAAGACATGCAGATGTCCAAATAGTTCAGTCACCATTGAACTCTAAGTTCAGTAGTCGGAATCTTATTGTTAGTGCCATCTTTCTAATAATTTCAATAGTTACGATTTCGAATCCAACATAAAAAACAACCTCATAACTATCCTATATTCATTATTATAGGTGTAAAACTTGGGCACTGTGGTGAACTTTTAATTCCATATTAGATTTGTTTATTTAATATATAGCTCACAGCGATACAGTATTATTCACTTGATGACCACGTTTCGAGCAAAAGTTATCATAGCTCATAGTCATATCGATGTAATCACACACCTTTCGACATCTGAATTTTATAGTTATGTCACATCTCATGTTCTTTATTTCTGTTGGTAGCAAAGTCTTCAATATCTCTAGTATACATGTTGCGTCATTCCTATTACATGTGTTGTGTGTTGGTTGATTTGATGAACAAAGATTCAGTAATCAATCTCTCTTTCACTTCACCTGATTATATTGGACTTAAGTACAGTGGTTTTATCCTACCCATCTCATTGTGTGGTTGTGTGTTAATGCGTACGTTGCAACAGCCGAGTTTTTTCCTACATTACTGATCTTATTCGGGTCTGTTATTCTATACTTAGCTGAATTCCTGTTCGGTTATTCTGACTGACCCCAACAGCCTAGTCTGACCTATGTACTTGACCTCACAGTCATTACATGGAATTTGATAGATTAGATTATTTGACTGAATTGGTTCTATCGGATCCTTAAGCCAGCCGACAAAGTTTGTCTCTGAGTGAGTTTGTAGGTAAGTTTAAATGCCACTCTAATTCTAGCTTTCTAGAGGATCCTTCTTAAAGTTTCTGATGTACCCTCCTTATAGGGTAATACAACAGAGGCTGTGAACTCAAATAAACAGATCTAATATGGAATTATCCTACATTCATATTTATGTTACTCGATTTGAAACAAAGGTTCAATCTATTAGTGATTAACGAACTCTAAAGCAGCTTCTACAATAGCCAACTTCAGCTTAAGTAACCCACTTGCCTCAGTTTCAATGACTTCGATTTTTATCTGCTATATACGATTTGGCAATAACATTGAATTATTCCTATATTGAAGAATAAGGCAAAATAATGAAGTGGTTTAGAACTGAAGAAGTTCATTCTATCCAAAGTCTAAATAAACTACGTCATCCGTATACTTGAAAGTATACAAACATATCTCTCCCGTAAAAAGTTCATAGGAATAGTGAGAATTTTAACGTTGGAGAACCCCTGTCCACCCTACACTTTTAAAAAATCTCTGAAGATGAAATCATTTCCATACCAAACCATATTTTTAAAACGATTAATTCCCTTTATAAATTTCGACAAAACAATAGGAAGATATAAATTTTCTGAACCGTATAATGCATTTGAGCAATACATTTCGAACAATCTGATCACACATGTACTTATCATAGGTATTTATATGAAAATTTATAGAGACAAGAGGTGAGAATATAAAAAGAGGTCAAGTGGGAAGGCCAAATAACAATGAAAATCAATAGAGGGAAAATAGAAGTACGCGAAATTTGGTTTCAGAGTTGAAGCTACCAAGGGAGACTCACTGTGATAACAAACTGTTTTCGAACACACAAAGGTGGTTTAAACTTCCTAATAGCTATGGCCTCAACAAATTTAAGGATCCGTCCCTAACATGTTTTGTAAATCGGTCTAAAGGAAGTAACCATGTCAACTTTGTGATCTGTCTCAACGATATGTTTCGCGGTCGAAAAATTTAGACGTCTGCCACCAACGTTTATAGGTTCAAGTGATTCAATTTGCTTCTGAACCCACTTTAGAATATGCTCCGAGGCCCTTACTTGTATGCATCAATGAGTCCTCCCAATGTATGTGTCACCACACGTATATTTGAATTGGTAGGTGCAATGGTAAGTGACATTGTCGTTCACATGCTGTAAGGGCTTGGGAGAATATACAGGCTTAGTGGTTTCTATTAATCGAACTCTAGATGCGTAGTAAATCCTTCTAACAGCAGCGTTAAGTCTCTCCTTAAGGATTGTGCTATGAGAGTCATCTTTGAACAGAAGACTGATGAAGACATCTTTCTTTGGGACAAAGTGAAGAGCTGGTTTTGGCGCTTTAATTATTTTGTGCTGTCTAATAAATGTTGATAAATAGTTGTTTTCCAACGATATTTCGGTATTATAAGTGAAAAACTTGGGCACTGTGGTAGAATGTAGTTCCATATTAGATTTGTTTATTTGATTTAAAGCGCACAGTGATACAGTATTATTTACTTGATTACGTTTCGAGCATAAATTATTGCTCATAATCATATCAATGTCACATTGATATGATTATGAGCAATAATTTATGCTCGAAACGTAATCAAGTAAATAATACGATATTTCGGTATTCTTTCACCTTCCAAAGACAATTTACGTCTTCGTATTATTTTGTTGAAACTATATTTTCTTTAAACAGAGTTTACAAGATTTAATAGGGAAAAAATCAACCTATTCCAAATAATCTACCAATAAATAGTAATTAAAATAATCCTTTAATTTATATTACTGACCAAAGTTTACTTGTCACAGTATGTGAAATGGCAGCTAAAGTGAAGAAATATTTCTCCTCAATAAACTTTATCATATATAGTCGCTTCCATAACTAGTAAAATGTCGAAGTTGCTCAGTCAGTACTACACATGATACAATTGATGAGCGGGGAGAATTGGTTCAAGTGGACGATAGAAGTGGGAAAATGTGGACTGATGGATTCTGTTCCACTAGTTCAATGGTAACGTGATTACCACGAAATCTGAAGTTCACGATTCTGTACTGCTGAAGAGTCCCATGCTAGAACGAAGTAGCTGTTCAGTGTTAACAGTTTTTTAGTAGCCCTCAAACTGACGTCAATCAATGATAAATACATCGAAATCAATGAATCTCCCATAAACCTCCAAACTGAAAAATGAAGGATTGATTTCAAGAGGTGAAAAAGTGTAAACTGTCTAGCTCAAGTTGATTCGGGATAAACTGATCTTTGCAGTGAGCCATCATCCCTCCTCCTTAACATCACGTGAAACGTTGAATTAAATTCTTCCTCGACTGTGAATTTTATAGATGGATGCCAATCATTGGATTGTCTGAGCAGTTCATCAACTGGACTTGTTTCATCAGAAATAAAAAAAAGCATCTTCTATGTACCTTTCACTCAGATAAATTCCTGAGATTATTTCCTTTAGTGGCCTATTTTCGAGGCTTGCCATGAAGACCAGGTGGGGACCCCCTTGCGACTCCATCTGTCTGATTATACATCATATCATTTAACCTGAACTTTACATGAAAGTACATCTAAATATCAGCAACTTTAAATAGCTCGTCGGTAGTTCCATGTTTATATACACGATTTAGTCGCATAGATAAAAAACAGCTTTTACAAGTGGAACATTCGTAAATAAACAAAGAACATAAAGCGATATCATAAGCTTACGTGTTTTCGAATCTAGAAACAAAAGGACTATGCATAAACCTACTGGTGATATCAGGTCTCTCGAAGCATTAGATATACCTTACTGATCCCATACAAACACAATATTTAGGTCCAGAACTTTTTACAGATAGCCTTTTATCTAACACCGGAAGACAAAATCTTTGTAGGCGAAAAACGTATCTCCAAGTTAGAACCTGACGCCAAAAGACTGAATGGTTTAGAGAGGTGCAGGCTTATTCATTATGCACCAAGAAATGCTAGAAACCGATGGTTGAGAATCCTTAATGGCACGGCTCGAAACTGGCCATTTACTGTTTACCATTTCCAGTATTATAATAACGTGGTATTCAATTATTTTCTTTCTCTCCCATCCAACGTTCCTTTTCGCATACCCTTGTATTATTCTATTGTTGTTCAATTCCTATGGCTGTCCTTCCTGTGATATGCGATACTTTGAAGTGATAAACTCCTGTGAAACATTCTGCACTAATTTATCTGTCTCTCTGTACGTTACGATTTGCATTTTAATACACTGACCAAAAGAAACTTCGATCAAGTAGTCTTGAAAGATATTCACTGATAAGGACTGCTACAAAACAAATTGGATAGAAATAAACAGCATTCATTACACTTAAAAACCAGGTAATGAAAAGCAATCTGTTGAACACTCGTAGGCATTGTAAAGAAAGAAAACAGCTTTTCTTGAAAACAACAAAAAATATTTATTGGGGATTTCTTATGTACAATGAGGTTTTCTAAGAGTAACGTATTCACTCCAGTTAAGTACCTTTTGAGCTTTGGAGAGTGATGTTTGTGCAATAAAATCATCAATATGTGATGTATTGTCTAGCTGGTCGAGACAGTCAATATATTCTGGAACGTCATCTACAGGAGCTACGGGACTTCGACTAGGAGAATCACCCCGTGAAGTTGCTACCTCAGAGTCCTCAGTTATTTTCCTATTTTGACAATTCTTCGACTTTGAAGTCTGCATTATGATAGACAAGTAGGTGCCCACAACAGCACTGTCCCCATTGTCTATTAACGGAGTTAACTTTAGTACTGAACCAGAAAAAATTGAATTATCAGATCTACTGGAATGTATGGGTGTACAAGAACCAGGTTGGCCTTTTATATCGAGATTACTGTTTACTTCCAGAAGACGTCCTGGAATCCCGCATACTATAGGATGTTTTACTCCACGATCACAAACAGCATAAGCTAGTATATCAGTAGATTTATTCAAAACATGTCCTCCATGTTTACGACGACCCTTGACTTTGTTTTTCAAACGGTTTAATCCACTGGAGATCTAAAGTAGAAAAAACATAAAAACATCGGGTTAGATAACTAACAACAACAGGAAACAATTGACGTAACTGGGAACAAGACACTATTCGTTCCACATGATACGTATTGCTGACATGGGTAGCTGGAAATCAATCTAACCAATTTTTAGTGTCCTCTACCTAGGTCAGAGTAATACAAACACTGAACTGCCTTTCCCCTCGCTTCGGATAATGCCGATAAACGGTGCAACCAAAATAATTCGGCTCTCCAAGCTAAGTAATTCAAATCACCTTAAAATTGGTTAACTACGTGAATCCAGAAGTAATAACAAGATACAAAGGTGTTTGAAAAATGGACACTTAAAGATCCCTATAGATTATTCAGAATAAGAATAATTTCGAAGAACAATTGCTTTTAATAACTTCTTTAGACTCTACAGTTATAAATCCATAAAAATAGGTGATATACAACAGCCAAAATAAGGTACAACGTAAAATTATTATTTCAATGTCAAAACAGTCAGTATTATAGGTAAATGGCGGTCAAATCAAATGGAACAGTAATCAGTCTATTGTGATAGCTGTGCAATCGAATCATTATGGACAGAACGACTACGAAACAAGGAGACAAAATCAGAAGATAGTGATTCATTTATATACACTTATACTGGGTGATGATTGAAGGTGACATGAAAATTCGGACCGCGGTCGGGTTCGAACAGGTGACTACCACCGGGGTTACCGGTCCGGTGTTCTATCAACTGAGCTATGAGGTCCGACTGCTGACTAGATTTCTTACTTCACTTCAGTCATCAAGGGTTTTGCCGGACTACCATGTGGATTCGTGATGCGTTATTACCGCTTGGTCCAAATTTTCATTTCACCTTCACCCACTTACAAAATACTAGTCCGCCAAACTACAGCTATCTCAGATAGTCACATGATAATTTATATACATTTATTGGGTTATGAACGTGTGTGTTTGTTTGCTAAGGGTCAAACAACCATTATGTAGCCATGACTTATATTTAAGTAGAGTGGAAAATTATGTGAATACAATAACAAATAACAAATGTGAAGTTTTATGCAACGGTTGAAAAAGCTTACTGGTATGAATAAACAAGGGCACAAAAATAAGAAAATGAATGTTTTGGTGGGTGAATGGGGATTTTAATTTTGAGACGGTATTCATCACGGACTGATATCAATTGCAGAACCATTGAAAACCTAGGAGCACTGGACAGCTGTTTCGTCCTAGTATGGGACTCCTCAGCAGTATGCACTAACTACTCGGCTAGAGATCGAACTCAGGATTTTCAGGTTTCACGGCGGACGCGTTAACCATTCAGCCACTAGATCGGAGTTTAATGGTTCACAGTTCCCAACTTCTGTCAATCCATGATACAGCGCGACTATTACACAGTCTTCAGATGGTATCCGCTTCCCTTCTGACTAGTTGACCCCACAGGTTCCCCAACTGATTCTCCGTCTGTGATGAATACTACCTCGAAATGAATGTTTATCAATGAAATCAGGGAGAAAATTTAGAAGAAAGAGGTGGAAGATTAAAATGTGAAATTTGTGGTAGCAAAGTTCATTAAAAAAGTCACCCTATTATGGGTCACGGTAGACAAAGTGGATGCACATATTTCTTTTGAACACAGATCAAATTTTCTTGTGTTGATACCTATGGCTTCAGCTGTAAATAAGAGGCGTAGTCGTGCCCCTTTGAGGAGATTGCAAGGAACACGATATATCACAGAAATGGCGTGATTTACCTTGGTGTGATATTGAAGTACTTTGTCATTCCTTTCCTTTATCTAGCTGGTACTTTTTCACGAGCACGCGTACGCCCTTTGCATTGTATCATTATCTCTAGATCTTGTCTCCTTATTTAGTATTTGTTCACTCCATATTGATCTCATTGCACAACTTATATAATAGATTATTCTACCTGATAAAAACTTAAATCTATTTGACTTGATCTCCACTTACCCATAACACTGACTGTTTTGACATTGCAATAGTAATTTTACATTATGCCTTACTTTGGCTGTTGTATTTCACCTATTCTCATGGATTTATAACCGTAGAATATGAAGAAAACGTTAATGAAAACAATTGTTCTCAATTTTTTTGCTCTAAATGCTCAGTTTTTGACGAGAATGATAAAAGCATACGGAACTCAATCATAAAATCATACTGTGATTTCTTTTGGGAACCTGAATTTCCAGAGCAGAAAGTGTGATCTGCACAACATCAAGAATGGTGTGGAGAAAACAAGTAGAAATTCAAGAGATATCATAATAACTGACATTATTACTTACAAATAAAAAACAATTACGGAGTCTCACAAGTTATTCGACATGTTCTGATGAAAACACTTATCAATGAAGTGCATAGGATGAATATCATATCATGGATCAAAATTACACGGAATCGAATGATTAAACACTACTCCTGATTATAAGTCGGAAAGATACCTAGAATTGGTTTCACGCGCAAACATGTTAAGCCAACGCAGACCCTCACACACAAAAGCATTACTTCGAATTGCCACACTTCACAGCAACATGCAAATTAGTGTGTCGAAAAAGTAATATTTGGTGGAGAATAGTATATGAGAAGAGAAAGAATGAATAGATGATTCTTATCGTTTCACAAACCCCAATTAGGCAATCTACACGGCTCAGATCAGCAGTCATAGACTTCATAAAAGTGTACAACACCTTAACCTCCTCATCCTCAACCTCCGTCTTACAACTCAACCCAACTTCAACTAACATTGCACATCAACACACCCATTCCATCGGTATGAGAAACACACATATAATATAGTATATTTCCAAACCTCCACAGTTAGTCAAGATTCATAACCTGATCGATTGACTAGTCCTTCTTGTCTAGTACACTTCGCCTAACCTCGACGATTCTCGAATGACAATTTTACCGGATGTGCGCGATCCTGCGAAGACAACTGGAATCGAAGACTTGTTGGGAAGTTGCATCAGCCCAAACGGGGTGGTTGCTGACGAAATCTCAGCTCGGATACAGAAGGCCAGTTTGGCACTTGCCAACTTGTGTCATCTGTGGCGCCAAGTGGCGAGATATCCGACTGTCTATCAAGGGACGAGTATAATGAGCTGCAGTTTGTTCTGTCCTGTTACGCGGCTGTGAAATATGACCACTGAAAGTAGAAGATATGAAGCGGTTACAGGGTTTTGATCACAGATGTTTTCACAGCATTGCTTGTGTTTGGTGGAATCACCGTGTGAGCAGTGTTGAGGTCAGGCGAAGGGTGATAGGCAAGAAAGGCAAGTCGATTGGTGAGGTTGTGAACCTTAGTGGACTGATATGGCTTGAAAATGTACTGCGCATGGCGAGTCACCGTCTATCTCGACGTGCAATGCTAACGGAAGCTGGATTAAATCTGAAAAGGGTTCAGGATGGCCAGAACAAGACGTAGTAACACTGCATGAAGTCCCTCCCTGACTGTTGGTCCGAGCCATGTGGAGAGAAGTAGACTACTTGAGCGGGGTCCCCGAGACGACAGGGACCAGGGGTTGAGAACTCTTGCTGACATGGCTGAAAATAGGTCACAATGGCGCAGATGCATATACTTCTTGAAACCTTCCTAAGCTTGAATATTTGCACTTACCGGTATCTTCAGATTGTTTATTCTCTCACACTACTTAATCTTCTTTGATATCACTCTTTTCCTATCCACCTGTTCTTTGCATGGCAACGGGCTGAAGCATCTGTATGCGAGATTCTAAGTTGACTTTGTTAGCCAGCGTAGATATCGCTTCATAGATTTTCTTATAGTCCGAATCTCACACCCTAATAATACGACATAACAGACTAAAATGTGATAAACGCATCCTTCGGTAGCTAGTCGGATATCTCGTTGGTCAATCAATCAATCTCGTTGGTATCAGAGATGAAGAAGGTTGGCAGATGCCAAACTGCCTCTTTCTATCTGAGCATCTTCCGTGGCGAGCTATAAAAGGGGGACAGTGAAGTTACTTAGCAGAAAAACTAAAAAATTACATAAGTGGAGAAAATGATAAGTGCCTTCTAAAATGATTACTCCGTAATATATGCATGTATGGTAGAGAATTTCGCACAAATAATACAGTAAATCTCACAAAACTAACTAGATATACTAGCTTTCAGCCTAAACGCTGTCACACGGTCAATATTATCCGCATAAAACAGGTTAAAAAAGTCTTTCATCTGAAAATGGATCTTAACTAAAACACATATCCTTCAGAATTTTTCCAAAATGTCATCGTCGGCAAGGCGTAACAGGTTTGGTGAAATCGAGAGGCTCTGACTAACTACACAGTTGGCTTACAGCAACGAGAGGTGGTTGTATGCTCTCACTGCCTGAGGCTCCAAAGTATGGCCCATTCAAGGTGCAAACCCTTTACCAACAGAATAATGAAAAACGCAGGCCCACTCAACTTAAAAAAACATCCTTTGCATCAGGAAACGCAATGGTCGTTGGTCTGAGATGTGTGATGATGTTCGAGTATTTGATCAATGCATCTTTTATCTGAACGAAGTCTGTTTCTCATAGATCATTTTTTAAGCGTTTTGCAGAGTCAGGTCGCAACCAATATTGTAGACACTTTCTATAGCAAACTGATATCCTGATAACTGTAACATAAGTCATGTAAACCTTTTTTAAGGATGGCTACAACAATGACCTCACTCTAGAGTGGTGGAACTCTTCAGTCTGTCTTACGTTCTTAAACAATCTTTCTACTCATGGCCACAGTCTCAATTCTATCATTAAAAAAGAGTCAAGGGTAAGTTGGCCAGGTTAGGTACCTTATGGTACTTCATTATTTGAAGTTCTTTTAGGACCTCTACTTCGTTAAGTAGGTCTGTGTTAACTGGAGCGCACGGCATCCATCACAAGACACGAAAGACGATGTGGTCAGAACAGTATACCAGATTAAGTTTTCTTAAGTGCTTCATCCATCATTTCTGGTTGTTACGAAGGTTGTGGATGGGCATACCATCTACTTCACAGACCACCTCACTGACATCAGGCTTTCTGCTGCTAGTGGTTAATGAGCTGGGACAGCTTCCTTCTATTACCAAAGGCAGCTGCTGCTTCCAACTTACTAGGGCGTTCTGACCACAAGGCCTCGCGATCCTTGAACAAATGATGCATGATTCGTCACTTAAGGAACTTATGTATACCATTGTACTCACTATCTGTCGGAACAGACATTAGCTGAATAACCTCTTTTACCTAATGTTCTACGACAGGTTGCATTATTGACGTAATGGTTCCACAGCGCTGCCTATTCCACGAAGGAAACAATGGCAGAAAAACTGAAGCTTTCTTATGTCATCTACCTTTAATGGTTACGTTTCTAGGCCATATACCACAACACAGCAAATCTCAATACAGTACAGTCGGTTCTTAGTAGGTAGTCTGATATCATGCGGTGACAGATTAAGCTGACACACCCCAAGCGAACCTTTTGTACCCCTGTCAAAATTCCGTCGATCGCTGACCCACCGGAGCTGATCAGACTTCCCAAGCAAGTTAATTGGGAAGTTAGTGGTGCAATTCGTAAATATAAATACTCATTAATAAGAGATACACATTTACGACAACTTAGGTCATGGATCAAAGACATTCGGAAACATGAAAACACCTTTTACCTGATAGTCCAATCCCAAGATTTGGTGATGTGCTGCAGATTTGTTATCAAATGAGTCCGTAGCACAACGTCTAAATATGTGGTGTCCAAAGGCAAGACCAACAACACACACAGTATTGCTATGCCTCAGGATACAGATGTCATTTTCCAACTCCCCACCAACATCAACTAAATAAAATGCATTGAAGTAACGCTCCACAAACCGTTGTGTACGGTTATCCACCAAGAAGCCTTTACTGAATACAGAAGAATCTGGTTTAAATTCAGGAGGACCTTTCCGTGACTGTATATTACGGAACCAATCGCAATTCCCATATTCATTATTACTCGATTCATATGAGGTCATTATATCGCTGAAAACAAGTGATTTCAAATTGGTGAATACTTTCAATTACTTGTAACATATTAATCAACATATAACCTGATATTCACTGTTGCCAGTTTGCTGTATCCCAAACATTTCTGGTTCCCAACCTTAGTTTAAGATCAATCCAGTGTACTTCAGACCTGGTCAAGGAAGCCAGATGTTTACTTACGTCTACACCGCTCAATACAAGAATATATTCTATTATAGCAACCTAAAAGAACTGGTGTGGAAACTGGCTACTTACAAGATTGACTACATCATACACCCTTGTATGGTTGAGCACAGTGAGGAACTGCTCGACAAAGACAAAATAAAAAATTCCTATATGAATAGTATGAAAAGATCAGATCATAAAAGTAAGGGGTAAACAGTATCCAGACCTTCAAACATGGTCTAAAACCACACTCACGAATTTATATCTTTAGTTGCCTGAATGGTATATGTTACTAAACCAGTTATCAATTTTGGTTTGTTTTTAATTTGACTATGTTGCTTAGATGTGTGGTAAATTGGGACAATACACAACTTCGCAAGGTAGCTTTCAAAACAGAGGAAACTTATGCAAGGCATAAGCATGTAAGAGTAAGTATTCGAGAATTTGTAAACTGACTCAATTACAGCCTTAGATCCCTCTGGACATTGACTAAAACAGGTCCTACTCTATAGTTGTTGCCATAAGGCAAAGAATCTAGGTATCAGTAAACTCATCGTAACATGAGGAAAACTGAATATCTACACTGAAAAGAATAGGTGTGGTAAGACAACACAAACAAAGATAGAATATCAAGAATCTTCGACGTTAGCCGAAAGTAAAGTTCGGAAATCATAGAAAAACGCTGCGAGCTTTGATCCAGTACCATCTACAACGATAAAGACAAGTGTTCACCGCAAACCAGGCTTGATGAACTAGTCAGGACTCTAAGCGATTAGCGCTTATCAGTCAGTCTATGCAAAATTGTAGGTATTCACTACATGTAGTAATAACACCATATGATGATCGTTTTATGTGCTGTTGAAATAGTATCCCATCGGTAGAATACGGCTGTATCAATCACTTCGGTCTAAAGAATTAATGGCTAACTTAGGTCACAATTAAAACACTTGACCATTACAAATCATATAGGCAACTCCATATATAAACTGGGAAGAGTCTAAATCCTTAGTCTCAGGCAGTTGCTTCGAAAATGATCTGCTTTTAACAGTGTTGGAGTCTGACTTAGTTTAAAACGTAACTTCTACAACACTAAGATTTAGAACACAAGTCGTCGTTATTAGATTCGGTTTTAGCTCATCAATGTGAAAATATTACGAATTTACGGCAATTTACCCCATTAGTGAATGTCAATCATGTGGTCTTAACTTCTGGTTTTCGAACGTACGAGTTTGAGTACGATACTGTTTCCCCTAGGCTTACTGTGTGGTCTTTAGACATTTCAGGGATAAGGGTTTGCGCAGTCGATAATGGTTGGACTGTTGATAAGGACTCATCTATCGAGAACACTTGGTTTAGAACCATATTCGAAGAGGTAACAATGCCCTTTATTCCATGGTCGACCTCACGAAGACCCTCGCATTGCCCCACCCTCATGGTTTGGTAAGGATACTCAAAAACTAATAAGGTGAAGGAAACGTTTATGGGGCTTGTATTAAGAAACTGGAGTGGAAACATCTAAGACTAAGTACTCTGAAGTCCGTAATCTGTGTAAAACCCTGATTACACAGTCTCAATAACATACGAGAAACAGCTATTAAGTGATTTTAAAAACTGTCTTAAAATACTTTGCTCATTCACTAGAAGGACAGAAAAGAAGTGTGGAATACCCTCTCTAATGATAAGTGAGGGGTCAGATGGTTTGACAGAATCTAAGTGCTTATTGGAATACTTCAGCGAAGCCTCGGTAGGTCAAGATAATGAAGTGCTCAACGGTGGTGTCAAAACGGCCCCACCAATGAATATGCTGCACGTAACAAAGGAAACGCTCTTTCAGTTGCCTGGTAATCTTAAGCCTGAATAATCCCCGAGTCCTGACGGTCCGCATCCTAGATTATCATCTTCGCTGGCAGGCATTGTTACTAAGCCAGTTACTGATCTTTCCAATATGTCCTTATCCTAGACCCGCCGCCCCAATAACTGGAAAGATGCCATAATCAGCCCAGTTCCTAAGGCGAATAGTCATCAGTTAGTATCTAACTATCGCTTTGTTAATCTGTCCAGTAGCCATCATGGTTTTCGAAAAAATAATTCATGACAGGGTACTTAACAATCTTGAATCAGATAATCTTTCGGCATCACAGCAACACAGATTTCGGACTGAACATTCCTGTTTAGTAAATCTCCTCACCGAGCAAGAGGAATGATTTGCAGCCCGTGACAGAAAACTGCTAATAGATGCCGTGCTTTTAGACTTCAGTAAGGCTTTTGATAAAGTCTCATGTAAAATCACTGGGAAACCTCTCCTCTTTTCGGTTTGACGCTACATTACATATTTGAATTACGGACTTTCTGTGTGAAAGGCAGAGTGAGGGTTAATGGGACACTGTCAAGGCAGAAACCGGTGACGAGTAGAGTCCCTCAAGCAACAATCATAGGTCACCCTTCCCTGTTGTATGCTAAACGATTAATGCAAATCCTGAACTCTTTGGTGTCGCTATTCGATGACGATGAAAACGTTTGCAGAGTCATAAGGAATGATCCTGATAGGTATACGCATGAAGTGGGTTGGCCCAAACTTCGGTGTCTGGAAATCAGCCATAGTAAAAGCGTAATGTCACACATTGATCATGGCAATTGTTTCTAGTATTCCGTTGATGGTGCACCACTACGCCCGGTCCTAAACTTTGGTGTCATCATAAGCCATAATTTAGAAACTTCCGCAGACTGCAATGCAGCTGCAGCGAAAGACTTCCGTGTATTAGGGTCCATACGCAGAGCTTCCAAGTTTTGAACAGAACATGTTCGACGTACTCTATTCACATGTTAGATCTAACTGAATACTGAATTCAGGCAACCACTCCATGCCTAAAAAGGATACTGACGTACTTGAGCATGCTCAAACGGTAAGTACTAAGCTTATGCTCGGCCTTTCCAGTCTGCCTAGCGAGGAACAACTAGATCGACGGGATGTATTCTTGCTGTCTTATCATGGGAAAAGGAGTGACTTTCCACCGGCATTCCGTATCCTTAATGACTTCGGTACTGATATGCTTCATATTTTCTTTCCGGCTAGGATTGGTTATCTCCGAAACCATCACAAAAAAACCCAAAAACCACGACTGAATCGACCTAGCGTGGACCTGTGTTTCTCCCATTGAGTGGTCACCGACCGGAAATCCTTACCTCAACAGTAGAAGCGTTGACATCCAACAGAATTAACTCTGTGGACATTGATCGCAATGATGTATTTCGGACATTAAGTACTCTCGGTGTGGAAAAATCAACAGGGCTGGATGAGTTGCACTCAAGGATCCTCACAGAGATTACACTCTATGTAGCCAGCCTATTGACTACTATGTTTGGACTGTCTGTCAGTGATTGGAAGGATGCCATAGTTACACCTATCTACAAGGCAGGATCTAGGCAACACCCATCAAATTACACTGATAAGTTTGACTAGTAACGTAGTAAAAATCTAGAAACAGTAATACAGAAAGCCATAACGGTTTACTCAGAAAGAAACATTCTAGTTTCTCGTTCGCATCATGGCTTTCAAAGAAATTTCTCCTGGTAGACGAACTTTCTCACAGTCAGAGGAAGTTCGGTTAAGTCTAAGGATATAGGATGCCTGTAGATGTCATTTACGTAGATTTCAGTAAGGCATTCGACAAAGTATCTCATTTCAGGTTGCTCGGCAGACTGCAGTTTCGGAATCACTGGCAATCTACTTACATGGATTAAAGAGTTTTTTGTTGGTAGGAATGAGGACCAATTGTTAACTATTCTCTTGAAAATCGGTAGATAGTGGAGTGACGCAAGGCAGAGTCATGGGCCCCCTGCTATTCCTCCCATACATAAGTGAGCTACCAAATATCATGAACTCCTCTATGGTTCTCTACGCTGATGATGTAAACATCTGGTGGGAAATTAGAGAAGACGAGGATAAACGTGCACTCCAGAAAAACCTAAACAGCTTGTTTACCTGGTCAGACAGTTGGCTCATGTTTATCAACGCAAGTATATGTGTGAACAAGCACATGGAGCACACAGACAGCATCACCTACGATGTTGGTGGGACTCCTCTTCCCTCAATACTGACCCACAATGACCTAGGAGTTCCAGCGAGTTATGTTTTGAAAATCACGGCACACTGTCAATTGGTCGCAGTCCGAATTTTTAGGACACTGGGTATTATGCAAAACGTTTACAAAAATATGTGAGGATATGTTCACCATCTTATATACGTGTTTCGCTCGCCTCTCAGCTTTTGGATTTTTCCACAATGAAAAACTCCCACTTGCAATACTCAATCTAAAAACATCGAACGTTTGCAGCACTTCTGTCCATCCACGCACCTCACCCCTGCGCATTCGTCAGCTCACTCCTCAACAGTTGAAAATTGGCATTATTATTCCTTTGAACCAACCGGTCTACCTCCTGTCAGTGGTTCTTGGGCGTTTCAGCTGCCAAACTGCCTTAGCTCTCGGTTCTCCTCGGAGGTCATTCCCCAGGAAATATCTTCCTGGTTATACATACGCATCTGGAGCTTACGGTTAAACTCGTTGGTCAAGAGCAGAGGATCAAGTGACAAGTGTCTGAAGGTGAGCCAACATAAATTATCTTCCCTTTTCTATTCTGTCCTTTTGCTGCATTCAGTCTTCAACCCTCTTATTGTTGTTAACTACTTGTTTTCCCAAGAAGTTTATATCATAGCGACATGTCTGCCCAAAACGCTAGGTCTGAAGCTTTGACACGGATAACGCGGTCGTGCACAACAACGGCCAGTAACACCCTAAACAACACACTAGTCTGTACTAGAAGACAAACAGAGGTAGGGCAGAACACCGAACTTCTGAAGAAGTGGCCAACCCATGTTTCTAGAATTCCAGTCGCCATCAGACAGGTGACACAGAGAAGCACTAGCCCGTCACAAACTAGTCCTATCTTGAGCAAGGATCATACCATGCCTGAAATAGAAGACGACGTAAAAGGCTTCAGAACAAGGCAGCCACAAGCAGTTCGCCACAATCCGTAGCACCTTATTCATGGAAGGAAGGCTGTATTACGACACCCGATGGCTGCAGTGTTTGCACCAAAGTTGTTTCGGTAGTCGATGAGGCATTTGCATGCAACCTGTGTCAACGATGGGCGCATTGCCACTGCGATACCAAAGTCCCCCGACAATACTATAAGCTGATGAAGAGACAACCATGCAAGTGGTTCTGGTACATCTGTCCAGAGTGCAGGAAAATGCCCGCACTCCGCACAGAAAGCCTGAAGGAGATGCTCTCCGCCACGCAAAAGCTACCAGCATCCTCGAATAAAGTAGGGTTAACACCAAAGGATAACACAGAGAGACCTGGAAACAGACCTAGAGCTCCAGCTGTGGGCACGCCACCTCGCGTGGGGACCATATTAGGTCAAGTCTCCATACCCCTACCCGGCCCCAGGGGACGTCAAGCGCATGGCCAAAGACATCGACCGCCGAAGCCTCTACGAAACCCATTCCGAACACCCCACACACCGTGACTGAGAAACAACCAGTGGAATTACTCAAACCCATTGGGAAGTCGGGCGTGCCACCCACAACGAACCCAGGTCACAGGAGGACCAACTCGATCATTTTGTTCAACGTCGATGTATCGACAGACTCATTGTTGGTCGAGAGGGAACAATTTGACAGCCGAATGTGGACCGACTACTGTCAGATGCTGGGACTCCCTCCCCTCCCTGCAACTTTATGTCGCCTTTCTCGAGGAAGCCATGCACCCCGAGATAAGCCACCCCCTTTACGTGTGTCCCTAAATACCGCCAAAGAGGCTGAAGACACACTCCTCCTCTCGCGACAACCGGACGTTGTTAATGCCTGTAAAATTCGGGCCAGGCCTGACAAGCCATGGTCATAAGAGAGGAGGAGAGAAAGTCAGCGGTTGGAAATCCCAACAGAAACAACACTATAGTTGTACATGGGATTCCAGAATTGCCAAGTGACAGCTCGGTCAAAGATCGGTACTTTCACGACGTCCAACAATGGCAATGGCTCTCAACCAAAGTTGGTCTCAACAGTATACCGGCCAACAGCGTCAGTAGACTGCCAAGGCCAGCGCACCTGAAGACCATACCCAATCCCAGACTACTTGCCGTCCAGTTCGACTCATATGCCTCCCTCACAGACGTTCTGCACGCATGGTATAATGCGAAAGATCGCATGGGTGGCTCAATACGTATATGTGAAAGTAAGCCTAGACCCACAAGGCAAGAGGAGAGACGGCAACCACCAAGACCTCTGGAGTCAGTGGTCGTCACACAGGCGCTGACCAGTGAGTCAGATACATCAAGTAAAGAAGCCACCACTGCTACAGCCCCCACCCAAGTTAAGAACAAAACACAAAAAACGGAACAATGCCAGTCCTATGAGGACTGGCGAGGCTAAATTCAACCACGTAAGCGCTCATCCCGCGAAAATACACATCCAGACCTCCCCTCTCATCAGGCACACTCTAATATGTATGTACAGCAACGTTAGGGGGCTAATAGGGAAGGTAGCAAAAATGAGGACGCTGCGTGAACATCAGCACTACGACATCATATTCATCACCGAATCCTGGCTCTCGTCGGACATCTCCGACGAAGAGATGCGTGTTGCTGGCATGGAACTCTTCCGCAGGGACAGGGAACATAGAGCAGGAGGGGGAGTGGCTATCTACGCAAACTCCTGTTTAAAGGCAAGGATGGTTAGCGATACGGCCTTAACCCAGCTCCCAGAGTCTCTATGGTGCTACTTCACTCTCTTCTTTATTCTCTCTTCATTCCTTTACCACTACCTTACTATTCTCTTCAGGTACCTACACAGACAGGAGTCACGGCAGTTCTCTAAACTTCCCAGCAACCCGTAGCTCCCTAATCACTCTACAAATTACAACCTACTAACCCACAAAACATCCACCTCACCGAAGCTAAAAGCAAGAAAGCAGAGGGGATTTCCTCGTCCACTGCAGGAGTAAACCGAACAACTGGAACCAAGCCCTAAGAACTAGACGCGAGAGATCAAAAACTACCAGTTTTCTACGCTCGCACTATCAATATTGGATTGGATTGGATCCTTAGTTAGGTCCTAACTAGAAAATTGTACACAGACCTAAATCCTTGTCTGAAAAATTACTCAGGTCTTCTAGAAAAAGTAGAGAGGGCAGTTACTTGTATGATTCCTGTCATGGCTGGTTTGACCTACAAAATCGACTTGAGGAGCTGGACCTCTTCTTTTTATCCTTTCGCAGAAACAGGGCAAGTCTGATTATGCTACACAGGATTCTAAGTGAATTTGAACCTCACCTACAATTCTTTTTCTTCCCACTAGGTCGGCACACCTCAGAGGACATAGCAGGAGAATACAAAAGCAAAAGACGAATGGAGTCTCCACAGAGTACTGGTTCTCGCGTCGAGCAATCAACTCCTGGGACAGACTCTTAGAAGAAGTGGTGTCCGCATTGCCAATCGACTTTATTCAAAAGAGAACTAGACAAGCACAGAGATGTACCGGAGAAAGATTATTATTGTTATTGTTACTATTATTATTATTATAGGCTCACAGCCTTTTATCCTCAAACAACAAATCTGATCAGATTCAGATGGGATTCGAATCGCATCAAGTGGTATCAGCTCACCAGGCGAGTACATTCTAGAGAAAGCTGGATCTTCACAGATATACATACTGCAAGTATCGATACAATACAACAGGTTTGTTGTCCTTATCACTGAATAGAAGAGTGTATTAACTAGTCATGTTCTTGTCCATCCCAATGGCCAGCACACACTTCACTTTTAAGTGTATTTGAACTCTAATTTTAATATACATGTGAGAATAGCGTGGAAAACCACATATCAAACTCAGGCATTTAAAATAAACAGAATATGAGATAACCATGACCAACTTACCTTGTCTTTCAAATATACCACAGGTGGTTACTTCTGCTGTGTCCTTCAACTCTTAAACTTCAAACTTCGTTTTGTAGAAATAGAGAACAATGGTCCCTTGGAATCTACGTCTGTCCTAATCCAATATCCAATATCCAATATTGATAGTGCGAGCGTAGAAAACTAGTAGTTTTTGATCTCTCGCGTCTAGTTCTTAGGGCTTGGTTCCAGTTGTTCGGTTCACTCCTGCAGTGGACGAGGAAATCCCCTCTGCTTTCTTGCTTTTAGCTTCGGTGAGGTGGATGTTTTGTGGGTTAGTAGGTTGTAATTTGTAGAGTGATTAGGGAGCTACGGGCTGCTGGGAAGTTTAGAGAACAACCGTGACTCCTGTCTGTGTAGGTACCTGAAAGAGAATATTAAGGTAGTGGTAAAGGAATGAAGAGAGAAATAAGGAAGAGTAAAAAAAAATAAATAAATAAATAAATAAAATAATAAAAAAAATAAAAATAAAAAATAAATAAATAAATAAAAAATAAATAAAATTAAAAATAAAAATAATAGTAATAATAATGTAGGGAAGAGGAAAGGGAAGGAGAATAAAAGAAGGGGTGAAGAGAGAAATGAGAACGAAAGAAAAGTATTTGGGAATTGCCCGAATGGTCGCGTGGGTTTGGTTCCTACAGAAGAATTAGTAGGTAATGTGGGTGTATTAAGGAGAGAGATAGTGAGTGGTAGTTAGGAGGGAGTTGGGGGTACTGAGGTTGGTGACTACCTGAGTACGTCCGTGGTAGTCCATGCGAGGTGACATAACTGTCTAATCGCCTCTTGAAAGAGTCGATTGAAGGAGCTATAACGATGTGTCGCGGTAAGGCATTCCATAAAGCACATACTCTCAGGGAGAAAAATTTGGACCTGAGTGTGGTGTTGGCTCTCTGGTGTGCTATCTTAAAGGGGTTTCCTCGTGAAGATCGTTCAGTTGCAGGCAAAATTGATTTGTTTGCATGGTCTGCCTGATGGGCGATCTTGTATGCCATAATGAGGTCACCCCTTTTCCTGCGATAACCCAAGGTAAATAGGTTGAGGTGTTTAAGTCTTTCAAGATACGTCTTTCCCCTTAGCCCCACAACTGATTTTGTTGCAGTTCTTTGTATTCTTTCAAGGAGATTAGAGTCTCTCTTGAGTGTTGGAGGAGCCACCGTATTGAAGACCTCTAGGTGCGGCCGCACGTAGGATTTGAAAATGGTGAGGAAGAGTTCGGGAGTGAGGGCGCCAAGCTGTCTACGCAGAAAGTGTAGAATGGCGTTCGCTCTGGTTGTCATACCTTTGTAGTTGGAGCTGGTGTCCAAGGTGTCGGAGAAGTTGAGCCCCAAATCTTTCTCCATGGACACTCTGGTGATAGCACGGTTGCTCAACATGTACTGGAAGTCGGTCGTACTTGCCTCATTTTTACTGATGTGCATTACTTTGCACTTTTCCAGTTGAAGCTCAGACCATTTTCCGACGACCAGAGCTCGAGTTGCTGCAAGTCCTTTTGTAGTGCTGCACAGTCGGCTTCTTCGTTTACCACCCTCCAAATTTTTATGTCGTCAGCGAAGAGGAGGATGGGTGAGGATATTTTGTCTGGCAGATCGTTGACAAAGAGGAGGAACAGAAGCGGTCCTAGGATTGCTCCTTGGGATACTCCTGACGTCGACGGTCTCCACTCCGACCTTATTCTGTTCACTTTAGTGCAGAACTGCCTCCCTTCCAGGTACTCCTTGAACCAAGAGAGTAGGGGTCCACTTATACCAGCTGACATGATCTTGTGAAGCAGTACTGTGGGTGGGACACTGTCAAATGCTTTGGCTAGGTCGAGAAATACAGCATGTACAGGTTTTCTATTATCCCAGCTTTGTGTCCAGTCGTCCCAGGCAGTTAGTAAGTTGGTGGCACATGAGCGACCACTACGAAAGCCGTGCTGAGCAGTGTGGACAGTGTTTTCTCTATTGAGGAATTCCCAGATGGTGTCAGCTACCAGGCTTTCCAACACTTTCGACACAATAGGGAGTAGGGCAATCGGCCTGTAGCTGCCAGGGTTTTTTCTGTCTCCTCCCTTGAAGATGGGTGACAAGATGGCACTCTTCCATTCTTTAGGGAGTTTGCACGAGTCTATTGAGTGCTCAAAGAGGTTGCGAAGTGGTTTGGTAAGCACCTCGGCGCAGTTTTTCAGAACCACTGGTTTCAGATTATCGCAGCCAGGGGACTTGCCCGGACGTAGCCTAGATAGCTTCTCGAACACCTTTTTCTCTGTAATAGAGACGTGACAGAGGTATTCGTTATTTGCGACCTGGTCGGTGTCGTGGCGAGTCGGTGTGGATCTTGTGTCAGTGCTGAGTTGGGCTTGGAAGTGTGAGCTCAAAAGCTCGGCAATCTCTAGACTGCTTAGCACACTCCCGTCATGGCCTGTGACAAGATTCACTCCCTTACTGGTCGACTTTCTTCTTGACATGAAGCGGTACAGGTTTTTGGGGTTGCTTTGTAACCTCGCTGCCAAGTTTGTTTGGTAGGAAAATCTGTCGTTACGCACTCTAATGTTACAGAGATTGCGAATCCTTTTATAGTTCAAGAAGTCAGACTCCCTGCGTGATGTAAGCCACTTGAACCAAGCCTGCTTCTTGCTCCGGATAAGCCTCTCTGTCCCACGCTTTAACCATGAGGTTCTCATTGATTGTCTGTGTGTTACTTCTGGTACACTGTGACTGATGGCCCCAGTGATTATTTTCTTCACCTCCAACCAGTGTTCATCTATTGTGAGATGAGTCCAGTCCACTGGCCATGATGCATTCATGAGGTAGTCCCTCATGGTCTCATAGTTGGCCTTGCTGTAGCAAGGGAAGGTGTTGGGCGTCTCCAGTTGCAGAGCCTCCCTAGTTATCATGGAGAAGGTGATTACAGCGTGGTCACTGAGGCCAAGGGGAGGTTGGATGCAAACATCCTCAATGAGAAGTTCATCGTTCGTCAGAACGTAGTCAAGGCGCGATGCGTTTCCGTTAGGTCCCCAGCGTGTAGCATCACCCACTTTCTCTGAGAGGCCAGCAGTCTTAATTGCATCCTTCAGCTTCTGATTGAAGGATCTGATGCGTCTCCCTTCCGTCTCGAAGAGGATGGACGGGGTGTTGAAGTCGCCGGCAATGACTACGGAATCGTAATTTGCAGAGGAAGTCGTTAAGATAGCCTTGATGATCATTTCCTTATGTGTAGGGGAGCAGGTGGGGGACCGATATATGACTCCGAGCAAATATTTGGTACTGTGGAGAGTGAAGTAGCACCATAGGGACTCTGGGAGCTGGGTTAAGGCCGTATCGCTAACCATCCTTGCCTTTAAACAAGAGTTTACGTAGATAGCCACTCCCCCTCCTGCTCTATGTTCCCTGTCCCTGCGGAAGAGTTCCATGCCAGTAACATGCATCTCTTCGTCGGAGATGTCTGGCGAGAGCCAGGATTCGGTGATGAATATGATGTCGGAGTGCTGATGTGCACGCAGCGTCCTCATTTCTGCTACCTTCCCTCTTAGCCCCCTAACGTTGCTGTACATACATATTAGAGTGTGCCTGGTGAGAGGGGAGGTCTGGTTGTGTATTTTCGCAGGATGAGCGCTTATGTGGTTGGGTCTACCCTCGCCAGTCCTCATAGGACTGGCATTGTTCCGTTTTTTGGTGTTTTGTTATTAACTTGGGTGGGGGCTGTGGCAGTGGTGGCTTCTTTACTTGATGTATCTAACTCACTGGTCAGCGCCTGTGTGACGACCACTGACTCCAGAGGTCTTGGTGGTTGCCGTCTCTCCTCTTGCCTTGTGGGTCTAGGCTTACTTTCACATATACGTATTGAGCCACCCATGCGATCCTTCGCATTATACCATGCCTGTAGAACGTCTGTGAGGGAGGCATATGAGTCGAACTGGACGGCGAGTAGTCTGGGATTGGGTATGGTCTTCAGGTGCGCTGGCCTTGGCAGTCTACTGACGCTGTTGGCCGGTATACTGTTGAGACCAACTTTGGTTGAGAGCCATTGCCATTGTTGGACGTCGTGAAAGTACCGATCTTTGACCGAGCGGTCACTTGGCAATTCTGGAATCCCATGTACAACTATAGTGTTGTTTCTGTTGGGATTTCCAACCGCTGACTTTCTCTCCTCCTCTCTTATTGACCATGGCTTGTCAGGCCTGGCCCGAATTTTACAGGCATTAACAACGTCCGGTTGTCGCGAGAGGAGGAGTGTGTCTTCAGCCTCTTTGGCGGTATTTAGGGACACACGTAAAGGGGGTGGCTTATCTCGGGGTGCACGGCTTCCTCGAGAAAGGCGACATAAAGTTGCAGGGAGGGGAGGGAGTCCCAGCATCTGACAGTAGTCGGTCCACATTCGGCTGTCAAATTGTTCCCTCTCGACCAACAATGAGTCTGTCGATACATCGACGTTGAACAAAATGATCGAGTTGGTCCTCCTGTGACCTGGGTTCGTTGTGGGTGGCACGCCCGACTTCCCAATGGGTTTGAGTAATTCCACTGGTTGTTTCTCAGTCACGGTGTGTAAGGTGTTTGGAATGGGTTTCGTAGAGGCTTTAGCGGTCGATGTCTTTGGCCATACGCTTGACGTCCCCTGGGGCCGGGTAGGAGGTATGGAGACTTGACCTAATATGGTCCCCACGCGAGGTGGCGTGCCGGCAGCTGGAGCTCTAGGTCTGTTTCCAGGTCTCTGTGTGTTATCCTTTGGTGTTAACCCTACTTTATTCGAGGATGCTGGTAGCTTTTGCGTGGCGGAGAGCATCTCCTTCAGGCTTTCTGTGCGGAGTGCGGGCATTTTCCTGCACTCTGGACAGATGTACCAGAACCACTTGCATGGTTGTCTCTTCATCAACTTATAGTATTGTCGGGGGACTTTGGTGTCGCAGTGGCAATGCGCCCATCGTTGACATAGGTTGCATGCAAATGCCTCATCGACTACCGAAACAACTTTGGTGCAAACACTGCAGCCATCGGGTGTCGTAATACAGCCTTCCTTCCATGAATAAGGTGCTACGGA